AAAAAAAAAAAAAAAAAAAAAAAAGCTGTCCTTTGAAGCAAAAGCGAAAGGTCGCAGCCAGTTAACCGGCTCGCTAAATATTTATGACGATTATCCCTCGAGTGGCAGCACATCCGATCCACCAGCACATACGTGATTTTCCATTGTACCCTATGGCATGTATAATCGTATATGCACGTCAAACAATACGTTACGCTTGCGCGTGTGTATTGCCACCAGCCAAGTGCACATCCTTATTTTGCGGATTCCCATCCGCGCGCTTGCAGCCAATTTTGGCATCTTATCATGTTCTTCACTGATTTATATACTGCGCGTCGACCTTTATCTCCAGCTTCGTCATCTTCTTCTTAAACGAACTTTATTTTCTCGAAATTCGTAGATTCTATAAATAGAGACATTAGCATAGGAACCGCCGAGGGAATCGGAGTGGTGTGTCGTCTCCGTATTCGCAGTAGGCAGCCAATGTTAATGAGGGCTAATGCCGTCAATTGCCATTCGGAAACGTGGCGGTTGGACAATGACGAGGAGTCGCAAAGACGGGCACACGGGCGTTTTGTTCGTAGCACGGAGGAACCCTTAGATTCCTGGATAATCGACTGATTTAGTACTAAGAGCACTGTCCGCGCGTCTGATTTTCGAAAATCCTAGAAATTCGGTGAAAATCGATCTACTAGGTCGGACATCGTGACTGTTACGCGAATGGTAAACAATGCGTCGTAAAAGGCAAAAAGTGGTCCACTAGCACCAAGAACGAAGCACCGAGCACGCTCTCTTATTACGTAACGATATCTTAGAGATTTTACGTGACGGTTATCGCTTCCAGACAATTTCCTGAATTTTACGGACAATGTAGCTTCGATCGATTCGGCATGCCACTTTACTTTCTATGAGGTTTATTCATTACCGGTTTGATTGTTCTTCTTCGTGGCAGCTCACCGCAAGAGATCGCCAGTTAGTCTGAGTACAGGCAGGTACATTGATTTCCGCTTTTTTTTCAGATTATCCAACGGATCCGGACTCTGCGAATTTTTTTTTAAGATTTCAGGAGCAACGGGAGTAACCATTGCCCGATGTGATACGACGCCTCGCGTCCCCCGGATGTCATAGACGATTTTACCTGGTCCTTGTCTTGTAACTGGTGAGAGCCGTCGAAAAGTGAAACGACCTGTTTGCCTTTCAATTGTGCATCTTTGGAAATTCTCTAGACGCTAAAAATTAGTTGTCGGTGGTCATTAGTGGGTGCCAAAGTGCCTGGGCACCAGCTTCTAAAGCATCCAATACACCTGTACCGATCGAACGGGAAGGAATTAGAAACACAGCAAATTATCAGATACATGCAAATATTTCCACTTAAAATTATTGGTGGACATACTGAAAGTTATGTGGGTCGTGTTTCCAGGACCTATGTAACGCCCCCAGGGTGAAGCTGATCAGCGAGAATTTTAATTAACTAACAATACGAAGCAGGACGCACGACGTTCGATTTGTTCTAGTCGTGGTCGGTGGAGGCACTGACCGTGTAAGCCTCTTCTCGGTCTCTTCTTTTTCAGGATTTCCCATGGTTCTCCAGATATTCCCACGATGCATCAGCGAGCAGTCGCGTGCAGATTACGATCGGGCCTGAGAACGAACCAATAGGAAGACAGCTTCAGGCCTCCTAGCCTTTCAACTTGATAAAAAATTCTCCTCTAGTCCGTCCGTAAATGAAATCTACATTGGTGCGACCGCTTCTCTTTAAATTTCAATCCAAAAAATTTCTTAAGATTGCACAGAGACACAAACGTTCCTCCTGGTGCATCTACATTATTTAACGTGTTTTTTCTCGAGTGGCTCGTCTTTCGCAACGCGCCCATCAGAGATCGCGAATATCCGAACAGCGTCGATAATTAACACATTCTATGAACCATGCCTGTGTAGCCAAAGCCTATAGTGTAGCTTTCCTCTTGAGTCTCTCACTCACCTGGTGTAATCGAGCTACTTCCGGTCCGCGCCTCTCCCTTCACGGGATCTCCAGTCATTACTATTCAAGAACCCGCACCGGAAACGGAAACCCTCCATTACGTGGAGTTACTGTCTCCCAGATTACAGGACATTCCGCCTTCTTGTACATCGAGGTGTCAACGCCTCCGATCGTACGAAAGTTCGCACAGTCCATATCGATCTATCGATCGCACTGAATTCAATTCACTCAATTCTTGAATTTATAATTGGTATGCTAATAAAATTTTAATGAATTCCACGAAGAATCCAAAAAGTTTACGGTGACTTGGATCATTATCGAAATTCGCAATGACGTATTGCAAGGCCGTAGAGATAGCTAGTGTGAGTTTACGTAGATCAACTCGAAGAAAGAATAACTAATGAATGGAGAACCGAAGCACGTGGTGGCTGAACCGTAATGCGATTCATGCGCGTCGGGTCAATCAGCTGCCGCATGATTCTGTAGGTATTGTCCATCTTTCCAACTTTTTATTTTTCTTTGACGTGAACGAAAAAATATTTTTCTTCTTTCTTATTCAATGAAACGATCATTCATCACTGGTCGATACTCTACTATCGATTAGAAGCATTCGCTGCACATGCAAGGCAACCAGCACGTGGGCGTTTCCATTTAGTTTCAATGGAGAGTCGAGCAGTTCGAACGGCAACCACTTGGCTGCTGTTCATAAGAAAATGTATAACCGGTCCTGGGGCTCGCGTGAAACGCGCTGACTATTTTTCTGCAAGAATACAGGAGTGTAAATGTCTCCGAGGGTGGCGTTCCAGTGGCTGCTACGCGTGAGTGCGCAGGCGCACGGGCAAAATTATACACTGGACAAAAAAAAGGCGAAACGAAATACTCGACTACTTTTCATTACAATGACGTTCGTTAATGGGAGGAGAATCGGCAAGTGCATAAAAAAGAGTGTTCAAGAAATATAAAAAATGTTCACTCGGTGAAATTGAAGAGAAGGAAATGATGGCTGCCTCGAATAAGGGCCAAGTGGGTAAAACGGGCCAGGGAAAGGATCGATCGTATCGGCAAGTATGGATTGATTCATTATGTCGTCGAAGTCAGATGATCGCGTGTCTCTCGCGCTTATGAGCTTTTCTGTGTGTTGTGGGTCGATCTTATCGGACGTGAGTCCGTGTGTACGTTCCTTTATCCATCAGAGGCAGGTGTGTACCAAGTGACCTCTTTATAGAGGGAGAGTACACTATATAGAGACTTTCGTGAATTCGCTTAAAGAAAAAGTGCAGCGGACCTCCTTTCGGAGAAGCCTCGAGGCGTTTCCGCTCTTGTGTTTCGGATCTCAATCCAGATATCGAAAGAATCATTAGGATACTAAGATCGAAGGAGTATCGATGATTGGCATTCGATAGCACGTGGCGATTTTTGCACCTACTCGATTCTCGATACTCCCGTCCGTACATGATCTCTCTGTATGTATGTAGCGTCTTATTCACCCAACCGGATGACCATTCGCAGGATTAATCAAGACGAATCAATAAAACAGCAGCAGATCGATCGATTCGAAAGTTTTTAATGTGCGACTAGTAAGTTAGCACTCTCATTAATTTGCTACATTAAATCCATTGGCGCGCGGCATCACGATATCTCCGATGATTGGAAATCCCTGAAAAATTACCAGCTTGTCAACGTGTTCCCCAACTCGATCCACTCTGCGTCTTTGGGGAGTACCACAGTGCTGGTTGTCCTTTTAATTTTGTCTTACACGATACGCGGGATTATAAACCCAAAAACCTATTTGAGTTGATGAAAATTGACTACACTGTCCTTCCCACGGCCAAACTTGATTAGCTGTCAGGCGATGACGTTGTAAGTGGGAAATACAGATTAATTTCGTTGATTTAAAAAAAAAAAAAATTAATAAGAAATTGATTCGTGCGATAAGAAAGTTTTATCCATTATATGACATAAGTACCATGCTTGCAAGAAAGGTCTAGTCTGTACTAGACTAAGGTAATGGCAGGTCCTCGTGCGTACGAACGACGTTTAAATAAATAAAAGTGAGGCAGCTACGTAATGCGCCAAGAAGAAAGGGGGCCAGAGACAAAGAAAAGTGCGCCATAGATGATAAATAGCCTAACGCCTAACCTATCCGATCCTATTAATGATATTAACGATTGCGAGAATTGCGAACCGGCCATGATCCTTATCGTCGAGGCTCGGTCATTCGCTGACATTTCGTTTCTGTCTGTCATCGATTGCACTTCGCTTCAGCTTGCATCGATTCACTGCGTCCCTTTCCCTTGGCCTCGCTCCATCCCGGAGCGACAGTCTATTTAGTATTAACCTTTAAGGGCCCATCGAAATTCATTGAAAACTCTTATCACTAGCAGCAGGCTCCTCACTGAGAATTCCACTCGACTCGACGCGCGTGACGCGCGTGGTGCGTTGCTGCAAGAAGTTCATTTCAATTTCTTCTCCATCGGGTGGAAGCTCATTTTCGCGGCGGCTTTCATGAGACGAACTACGTCACGTCGTGTCCACGCAACAAGAGCCTTCCTCCGTGCGACTGTATTCCCAATGAGTCATCGATTCTGCAGTCAGGCGAACCAACGATACGAATTTATATCGCCAGTGGTTGACAGTGGGTCATAAGGAATCGTGGGAATTTTCAAATTTAAGGAACTCGTGTAAACTTACCCTGAAGAAAAAATCCATGCAGCGCGAGGTTCATGGCTACGAGATGATCGAATCCTTTCCCTGAAATAATAAAGAAACAAGATGAATTGCCGAGTAGCAGAATATTATGGACCTCAAGGCTGAGGTGCAAGTAACGCGAATAAGAAATATCTGGAGTTACTTAACTATGAAAAGTTTGAAAAAGATAATGTACTTGCATTGGTTGTGATCGGTATGGTCGGTCGGTGGCTTCGAGATCGTTTGTCGCTTTATTCCTAGAGTCCATACGAGCAGAGCGCATCTTGCGCTATCAATATTTGAGATTTACTACTTGAGTAGATTGTACATACAATATGCAATACGCATATCCTGATGCGCATGCGTATAGCTGCCTTTAAAGAAACACTTGACCCTGGCACTTGCGCCTAACCTTTGAAGTTTCTGGCAAACAAAGTTGGACGTTTTACCAGTGCGAAATACCTGAGTCAACTGGAAGGCGTTAAACGAGTTTTCCAGACAATCAGCAAATAACCTAGACCACAAGAAATCCAGCAGTTTTATTGGCTACTTCGCAGAAATATCAAACTCCCTGCGTGTCGCGGGCAAAGACGGTTCCTGTCAGTAGGCGAGAGCGCTTATTGTCTCGGGTTGCTGTGACGACTACAGTGGCTACCGTGAACCGATTTGATCCTCCTCTCCATTTTTTACCCACCTTGACACGACATTGGGTAGTCCCGCAAATCGATTGGTACGTGTGATAAATCCCAGAGAAGTTTTATGTACAGGAAAATCAAGCTGGAACGCAGCACACTGATGAGGACGACGAGTACTTGATTGTTATTGACAGAAAACGAAGACCCGAAGGCTCGCTGTATGGGCAGCGCATTCTAGGACAATTGTACGGTAATTGAAATTGACGTAAAAGTTTGCACGTAGATTGACGTGGGTTTTGCGTGGGACTCGGATTCTTCGTGTCTCTTATCGAACTCTATTCGCAGGAGTTGTCAAATCGGCCTGTGCTGGACATTTGCTGAGACGCTAACGTGGAATATGGAAACACCCACGCGAAACTACACGGATAAGCGGCAACGCGCATAAATGCATTGAGAAGCCCATAAACTGCAATGCGAGATTCCACGTTCCTTATCTTTATGGTTTGACTCAGAGGCTTGACGTCCACTTGGGAGTCACAATTGTACGGAAAAAAAGTCATAGAGTGAAGAAATAAAAAGAGAAAGAGGAGCCAAGTTTATGCGCAACACAGCAGGGAGAAGAGACGTTCGGCTCCTAAGTGTCACGTGGGATCGCGGTGCGTGCTCGATATTCTTTAAGAATAATCGGCGACCTCTCGAAAACGATTTTCACCTTACGTAAAGATACTTTTCCATGTCGCGCGACTTTCCCCGATTCGTATCGCCCAATCGAAAGACATCGACCACGCCCAAAGCGCATTGCGCACGCCGTGCTTCCATAAACTGATCCTGAGCCTACAGAAGTATACGGTACATGTTGTAAATACTATAGAGACTCTTCCGGCAGACGTTGGGAGGCAAAAAATGAAGAATCGATTCTTTGAAATTTATTGAAGACAGTCACGTGTCTGTTCTCAATTTCCAACGATCAAGATCACATTGACAATGGCGCTCCGACCAGTTAAGAACTTTTCTTCGCTCAGACGCGCAAAATATTCGTCATTTGCTCCGTGGAAGGGAAACGTAACTTCGTCAGCAAAAGTCAAGTTAATATATTTGATTTGACTTGAAGAAATCGAAAATTAGCATGAGTCCAGCTGCGTAGCATCGATTGTGACCCAGATTTGAGTCCGTCGAAGGTGGAAGGTGGAAGGTGGAAGGCGGAACGTTCGGTTGAGGCTACATCCCACATTCTCCGAGTATAACGCGCACATGGCGTATAAAGCGTATAAAGCGTATAACGCGTATAACGCGTATAACGCGTATAACGCGCGTATATTTAGAGAAAGCGAAAGATTCCGTTTCGTTGTGCGGCGCGAATCGTCGTAATTAAAATCGAAAATCGTATAGAGGTACGGAAAAAGACGAATCGCTCGTTCGACCAAATATTCGACATCTACCGATCTTATGTCGTAGGAATAATTGAAGGCCAATATAAGACAGTCCAGGCCATAAGTTTATCGATGCTTTGTGAAGACGCAGCTTAAAGACAGCTCGAAGCGACTGGTCGCAGAATAAAAACGGATCGTCCGTCCTCTGTGCGATTCTTCGAAATTATCTCGAATGCTTTCGAAACGTCGATGCAGAAGCATCACGCTTTCTAAAATAGCCGATCGTTCCGTCACCTGTGCGAGATCATTTCCTTTAATGGTATCTCACGATCGCTTCTCTATTATTTAGAGGAATTAAGAGGATCGGCACAGATCTTCATGACTTTTGAGGAACGAGATCGATTCTATCTGCGACTGCGACTCGCGTTTCCCAGTGTTTCCGGCAGTCTCTCCAACCCTTTGAAAGGCAAATTAAACGGAAATCGCTCAGGGCTCGCGTGTCCGATCGATCCTCAATTGATCCTCAATCGATCGGTAAGCCGGAAAGGAGTTCGCATTGATATCGATCGCTCGCAGAGCCTCAGGAACGAGTCCGCGAACACGCAGGACACGTTTGCATGTGTAGCGGCTGCATCGAGAGATCGTCCGAGGGGATGGGGGCAAGGGCAAAGGGAAGGGGAAGGGGAAGGGCAAAGGGAAGGGGGGGGGCAGAGAGTTTCCCTTTTTTAGGCACTTTCACGTAGACTCGACCATTACGCGATACTCCTAGAACGACGGAACGACGGAACGGTGGACTGGTGGAATGGTGGAATGGTGGAATGGTGGAATGGTGGAATGGTGGAATGTTATGAATTGAATGAAAACCAGAACGTGACGACCGCTTCTCTGTCCATAGTGCATCCGATTAGGTAAGAAACGCTCGCTGCAAATTATCCAACGTCGCAGATCGAATAGAGCGAATCAGCTGATCGGTAAGTGCTCTCAATATTTTTAAGCTTTCACTCGAGACTAAAAAGATGCCGTATCAGAGAAAGGAACAGGTCGTCAAAGGGACAGGCAAGAATCGCTGAGAATGAGAAACAAAATGGTAGACCCGAGAATGGAATGAGAAAGAGGGAACCAAAGAAGTATAGTGGAAGATGCACGAGTTCTCCTCGGTGTCGTTATCCTTTAAGGTATTCCAAGATGGCGGCCAAGATGTGCTCCTGGATACAATAATACATTGGTATGTGCAACCACGAGGAATGTCCTGCCGGGAGAGAAACATGGGTTTTCAGTCTCCGTTGCTATCAGGATTTTGTACTCATTTTTAGAAACTGCACTCCTTCCGGCAGTTGGATAATAAAGTGCGTCGTTTAAAAAAAATTGCACAAAAACAATAACGACATAAAGCGAATATTAAGAGGTAAATGGATCTCACCAGCGATCTATAGATCACTATTTACCCGTAAGCAAGGAGCCACTGGTACCGACGTTCCCGATCAGTTTCTTTTACGCCACCATGAAAACAGTGACGTGATTTTTATCCACATAGCTTGAGAAACCATTAAAAGTCTCTCCGGTGTAAAGTAACAAATAATACAAGGGAAAAAGAAAGGCACAAAAGGACAACCGTTTCTTATGGCAGATGTTCAGGCAGTGTTGCCCAAACTTCCAGTCTTAATCGTACATTGTAATTCTGTCATTCATATTTTCGTTTTCCTGCGTAATCCGGTAGGTCGCTCCGTAAGGCTGTAAGGCTGTAAGGCTGTAAAGCTGCCTATGTATACCTATGTATACCTGTCTAGCAAGACCTGCAAACTATACAAGCGCAAAGTCAAAGACTCGTAACACGGTTTGCAGAGAAAGAGACAAGCAGCGATTGTAGGCGGATTTCTCTCCGGTCTACGATCGGGTTATGTAAATCATTATGTGCATGCACGCCGACGCTGGAACGTCAGAACGCCGGAACGCCGGAACGTCAGGACACCAAAGAAAGTAAAAATAGACGCGGAACTCTATTATTCTTTTGTTGGCAATAAGGAGTAGAAAGGCTAAGGATAAATCTTGCACGAGTTTCTGACGTAAAATCAATTGATATGCAGAATTTGAAATTTTTCATTGTTTCCCTAAAAATGGCAAATAAGCATAATTTCTCGTAGAATGGAAAATTACAGGTACCCGCTTCCCGTAAGTTTTGCCAGATTCTCCGGAATCGTGTTTCATAACTACATTTACATTGGTCTCATGGCAACTTCTTATGCCGCGCGTGTAATACGGATAACCCGTTGAGCGTAATCGTTAACGACGTATCACGCGATGCAATTTACGAATTTCAGAATCTGCGAGAAGAGGGATTATTCGGATCATTGGGCTGTAAAAGTGGCTCGAAGTATAGTGCGCCCGTGTAATTTGCTATGTTAGGCTGCGCGCAAATTGCACAGTAACGCCTAAACGATTTGACATATCAATTTCAAAGAATCGGGCGCCATCGTTTTCCGTCATTCGAAATCGCTGCAGTTTGAGAAGCGTGCGCGCGTACTTCAGGGAAATCTTTAAACGGGGAAATCGCGATGGAAAGTTATTGCATCGAGTGATCTTAATAACGAAGTAAACTCTGCCTAATCGTATCCCTTTGGTATTCGAGTCCCATGACAATTGCCACTTTCGGATGTACGTATCAACCTAAAGAAGTATAGTATATGCTATTCGCTATAACTATGTATATTTACCTACGACGGACAATCTCGACAGAATCGTGTACACAGGATTATTTATACCTGCCGATATCGCGGTGACCAGTTACGACAGATTTCACGGCTGCTTAGTTAAATCAAATCGCAGCCTTATATTATGCAAGCGTCGTCGGCAAAGCGAGAATGTGCCAACAGATTTTAACATTCTTTAAGCGAATTGGTCACCCTCCCTCCTTCCCCTTCCTCCTCTTTCTCCTCTTTCTCCTCTTTCTCCTCTTTCTCTTCTTTCTACTTGTGCACGATCGACCGTCCCCCTGCTCCCGTTTTGCATTTCGTAACGTATTGCAAAGAACTCGGCACTTTTTCGTAAGGAAAGATTTCTTATTGGCACGTAAACGTGCAAATAAATAGCAGAAGTATCGTCTGTAACGAGATTTATGCTTACTCCTAATGTCCATCAATCTTCTGATAGATAAGTAACAAAGAAATTGCCGCAAATCTACCGGGAGATTTCATGGATGGCCGCCAGTGATTCGCGTCAAGAAAGTGGAAAATCGCTTAATGCCTTATTGGGTTATTGCTATGAGATACAGCAAACTATATCTTCTTCTCGTTATTTTATATAAAATCCTGACATTATTATTATTATCAGGCAATATGCAGCTCGACCGTTTCACCGATCGCTGTGCAGTTTTCGCAAATACATATGCATGTTAATGGGAACGGCCGATACTCGGGACACTCGCGATTCGTTGTGAGACGCACCTTCAAGTCCGCGATATCGTTTCACCCACACAAAATCCCGTATGAGCCAGGCATAAATTTCTCTCTTATAACGGCGTCGCTTTTGCTTTCCACAGCCACACCAGCCCGAGAGAAATTACGATACTTTTGACAAATCTGTGACTTAACGAGATTGTATAGCTACACTCTTGCATTTACATATGCTGTCCTCTCAGACGGAGCAAAATAAAAGAAGAAACGCTGGACTTCGTATCCATTAGAGGCGACACAAGTCCCATAGCACGTACCGTGTCTCTTAAGAGGAATAATAAAAAGAGGAATAGCCGAGAGATAAAAGAGGAAAAAGAATGGCGGGCACGATACCTGCTTGTTTCCATCCTGATTACGGCGAATCAAAGGAGTCGTTAAGACGATTAAAGGGCCCACGTACCGTCACCTAGTAAAGGCACGCGTGAACCAGAGGGAACGCAGCGGCAGCGGCAGCGGCAACAGCAACGGCAATACACTTTGTAACTTGTAACTTATCTTACACGCGAGATCTCGAGATCCAACCACGTCTATAGTCAGATTCCCATACTGTAGACTAGACACACGTGCCCGTCTCTATCGTGTAAGGATTGTAAGGTGCGTTACGGATGCACGGCTAGACTTTCCCTCGCGGTTCACGGCTGACGCGAGCATCGCTTCGTTCTCCGTCAGTTCGGCTGAAGATACTCGAGCAGATATATCTTTCGTTCACTTTGCGTCCGCCTTTAGGGTGTGTGTTAAGCGTTATGCAGTTCAAGGCACGTTTTTCGTTCCGCTAGGTGGGCAGTGATAATTTCTCTGAGCTACGGGTCAAAGGTAACAAAGGTAACACTCGTTAAGGAGAAGGAAGGAAACGGCTGGCTTCCATGTGCGATTCGTGCATGATAGATTTACGCGGGCAAAGAATCGTTACGCGATATGCGGCACGCGTTTCGCAACCATCGATCGAGCGGTAACTTTGCCAACCGGATTGTCTAGGAATTTTTTCTGATCGTAAAGCTAAGACAGGTGAAAAGACTATGTTGCTGAATTCAGTAGACGGCAGACATTTTCCACGAGTTCCATAGGCTTCAAACTTTGGCACTCTGGAGTCCGTCGAAGTGAGGATTTCTTATCGTCCTCGGAATGAGAAAGAATTGAGGGAAAGCCATTGTTTTGAAATTTGAGAAATGCTGCGAGAATCGAATGTAATCAAAGATAGATATATTGCAATCGATACCTCAAGGACTTCCGTATTCTCGAATCGAATTTCGTCATTCGATCGTACTTCGTTCGAAAAGAAAAAGTCAAAGTGATACATCGATACTTTCTCATAAGGATTTATTCGAACTCAAAAAAAAAGGATAAAAGATGCGTGGCCTTCGGGATTCTTAAAATTTTCTTTAGACAAATAACAATTAGACATTCCACGTGCTCCAAGAGGATTTATTTTCGTTTTATGCGGCATGTCCGAAAAGAGAATTTCAGAGAAGCCGATTCGTGTATTTACGCAACGTTCTCGATCCTTTCACCTGAGCGATGTAAAATTTGAAAAAAAACGCACTGCGAGCGAACGCGGCGAGCACGTGGCCTACTGGCGCACGTGTCCATCATTCGTTGCTCCGCGAAAGCATCATCGGATGGACGGATGAACAAATAATTCCAATAAAGATTATCCATTGAACATAGTGCACATTATGTTTGCACATCCAAGGAGTCTGGACCAACTGGAAACCTTCGACCCGTCACGATCATAGAAACTCATTAAGGATCACTCTCGGAGAAAACTGCTCGTGAAACGACCAATTCCTTAAGGAGAATTCACTTGTCGTTAGCCACAAGAACGGGACACGCCGCAACCTTTAATTCCGTGTTGGAAACACGTGGAATCAAGACAAGACAGCTATTACTATAGAGGCTACTAACGAACGTTAAGTAGACATTGGACGTAAAAGTGTGTGGCACGTATTATTACCAAATAATAATAATAATAGTGATGCCGAAAGATTACGCGAGACAGACATAACGCGTCGTTAACGATTGGTCACAAATTCGCGAGGATCTCAACACGCGAGACGTTACGCATCTCTTTAATCAATTACTGCGTTCCGAATGCGCGATTCATCCAGTAGTAACCAACTTGGCCTAACTCCGTCCTTCCTACAGGATGTTTCACAAAGGCTGGGTCAATGCTCGTCGACTTGACACACGCATATTTCAGACTCTGCTCGCGGATGTCAAGTTTTGCTTGCCTATCGCCGGAATTCACTAGGGCGCATGTACCCGTCCGTAGGTGCACGTGTGTAAGAAAGTTTAGCTGCCGAAGCGAGTCCTGGTATTTCCTCGTTTTGTAACTCTCGTTCTTTCTTTCTGCTCTGGTTTGCTTAGCAGCCGTTGCTGCCGCTAGTTCCAATTGGACAGCGGCTACCGGCGCGGCGTTTCCTGCAGCGCTGCAAATGGAATTCATGCGGAGTTTCCTGAGGCCACGCGCCAGCCCGCGCTGTCGCGGAACATTAAGCTGGACTGCGTAAAAACATTTCTAAGGATCGAGAACCGAATGGATCGACTGGAAAATATTGTGATACTAGAGACGAGATATCCTCTCTTCTTTGTTACTGAGTCCTCCTCGGCTAATCGTATAAACTATTTTGGACTAATTGGTAGAAAGTGTAAAAATCCCTTAGGCTAACATTGTTTTTGGTAATTCCGATAGACGTGCTGGGGCTTTCCGAGATTACTCGGTATTATTAAGTTGACTGTGTCTGGAATTTAAAGTTTTTCAGTTAATGACAAGCTAATTAATTAGAAACACGAGTATCCGAGGGTCGACAAGGAAAGGAATAAAACCGTCCGAACGACGATTTCTTCTTGGAATTTTAAGTATTTCCGGAAGTGCGACCAAGTCCGGAAACACGACGTCGCCTACTCGACCATTTAGAAGCCTCAGGATTGAGCATTACGAGCCTAATTAAATAGTCACGCTCGTTTCCGTCACGAATGACGAAACATTCGACAGAAGAAAACACAGAAGTATTTACAGAAAAAAACGAAAAACAAAAGTTTAGATTTTGCCCTCACCTTTATGCTGACGCTGATTTTAATGCAATCACCTTATGCAAATTTCCTTTCAGTTTTTATATTGCTTCTTGATTTTTTTGTTTCTCTTCTCCTAGAGTTATCCTGTGCCCTTCTGTCTCAGAATAACCGTTGGGATCCTTCGAATGATCCTTGTTAATCTAAGGATCAGCACTATCTGTCCCTGGAGGCACTCGAAACCCCGGGCATGTTCATCGCATCGAAGTTTCAGCGCATTAAATTCATCTCACGAGCGACAACTCGGCCCTTGCGCGAGTTCCGTTTTCATGATCGACGACCAAAAACTCGCCCGCCGCGCATCCCGACGCCCGACCCTTCGTTCAGCCTCTCTTTCTCTTTCTAAAGTTTAGCCAGCCCAAGCTCTCTGGCCTAACTGATTACTTCAAATAGGAAGTTTCGCACAGGAAAGCACCTGGCACCGATAATTAAGCACGTTCGCGTGACGTGTCGTTCGATGCGATGCGGAGCAACAGTCCATTTATTACGACATATTACCTACCGATCGGTTAACGGTAAAACGAACTCCCGTATCGCGTGTCGCGTATCGCGTATCGGATTCACTCGGTTCACTCGATTCACTCGATTCACTCGATTCACTTGGTTCACCGGGTTCACCGGGTTCACTCGACGACGTCGACGGCCACTCACGACTTGTATTCAATATTTATTCGGAACGAAAAGTCGACCTTAAGATATTTCGAAATCTGTCAAAGATCCTTTGACAAAATGATTTCTCCAAGATACAACAAGTAAATCCTATTGTTTCACACCACCGCAGAGAAAATGTACCTTCTCGTGGGATTATTTTATTTGAGACTCTCAGGATCGACGCAGTCAGAGTTTTCTATGGAGAATAAGAAGACTCTCTACATTCGCCAAGACTTTCTTCTTTCCACGCCTCGAAGCGCTATTTATGCTGCGCACAGCTGTTCCTGCTTTTGTACCCGGCTGCGCTTTGCAAAGAATATCTCAGTGACACTTAGGATGCTGCCAGAATCAATTACAACTTCCTTATACAAGTCAACAAATTATTATCTATAAATCCTCGAATCCACTTTCCAGCTGCTTCGCCAATCTCGCTTCAGTCGTCAATGAAAACACTTATCAATGAAATCACTGTCAAATCCTTTTTTATTCGAATACTCCATTCGCCAGTGGAGCACGAAAAACAGTTAGGAGTTCCTTCTTCTCGGTTGATAATACCGATTGTTCCGCCTCCAAGTATTCCCTCCTTTCCTTGTTTCACAAAAAGAAATTCTGTGTCCTGCCTGGTCCTGTATACGGTGTGTGTCAAACCACGGTCACACTCCGAACAGACCTCACTTAAATCGGGAGTCTCACTAGGGACGTTCGCTCGGTCCTCGGAGTAAGTCGTTGCTGACTGGTGACTGGTAGCTGGTAGCTGGTAGCTGGTAGCTGGCTCCGTGCATGCGTTTCTTATCCCGTCTGTCAGTCGGAGCTCGCGAGTCCGCCCGAAGACCCCACTGTCTCACTACTCACTACTCGCTGCTCGCTGCTCGCTGTTCACTGTTCACTGTTCACTGCTTACTATACAGTCACACCTGGAGAAGGGAGATTCGAGACTCAAGATGGATCCAACTTAAATCGAAAGACCTTGCAGAATGCAGTTCACTCCCGTATCGGGCTCCACTTCTTTTTCTTGACTTCCTTCAATGATTATTTAACATATTTTAAGCATATTGTTTGGCTTCACAGACCTCTGTGACGTCCTGTGGGTTATACAAAATATATATTTTTACTCTAAAGAGAGAGAGAGAGAGAAATATCTGGGGTCGAGGGAGCTATCGATCAACCTTTATCTAAGTTACATTTATATCGCGTACGTTTCGAAGGATGACACTTGTCACAATTTTCCTTGCAATTTTCTTTTGGTATCAATCTTTTTTGTTTCATAGATGAATCTCCTAGATTGATACATGAAAAAGCCTTGTCTTTTACGAACTGCAGATATATCAACCTAAGAGCCTGATATCGGATGAAGACTATAGCGCAATTAACATGTTGACCGATCATCGGCATCTGTCGTTTTCGTTTGTCGCATTTATTTCAAAATCGTTTTCGCGCGAATTCGCGCGAATAGATACAGATGCTGATGCTGAAACGCCAACGAATCGCTCTGCTAAAGCGGTTTTCTTAGGTCCCACGACGAATCGTGTAATATCGGTAAAACTTAAGTTGCAACACGAGCTAGTTGCACCCACGCACGTGACGTAAATTCGAATCTGTCTACAAGACTGAGTTACCTGCGAAATCTGATACAAGAATTGTGGTTTTAAGAATTTTAAGATCTCGAAACTCGGAGATTCTTTTGTTAAAATCGACCGAAAGAAATTGACAAACTATTGTCACAGACATCCACGCGAAAATTGTTGATGAAGTCACTCTTAGTTCTATCGAAACGCGGAAATCGTTTCTAACGAAATAAAATAAAATATTGGAAATAAACGACATTTTAATATTTTATTCCCATTACAATTAATCAATACGTCGTTATGTGGACATAATTTTATTCAAGAAACTTCAACTAATAAACAAAGCAATCGAAAGTGAATGAAGAAGGAGCGAGGAGCGCTAATGTATCCAGATAAAAAAAAAGTGAAAGAAAGAAGAAAAAATCGGTACCAAGGTTAGCACGGGAGAATTGAAAGATTGGGAACCGTCTGTAACCCAGATAAACAGAGTCCGCGCCCGTAATTACTATTCTATGTGAAAAATGAAATTTACTCGAAAAGGTCCTATTAAAAGAGAATTCGTTTTAGCGAAGAATATGTTCCGTAGACGTGACGTCGTGACGATGTGCCTGACGAGAGTGGCTATCTGGCCGCAGGGCAAGACTGTGACGAAATAGCGAACCTTCATTCTCTTCGATCGGCATCCAGTCCCCCATTAAGTTTGTCAAGCCGTCACTAGCTCGAAAGTCTTTGAAGCCACTTCCAGCTGTTATTGAGGGAACCGTAGCTCATTGTAACAAGCATGTGAGCAAACTGTACGCGTGTCTCTAGTTGCTTGCATGCGAATGGAAACGTGACACAGTACACTCGTTAACATTGTAGAGAGTTTCAAAAGATTGGTATTATAAAAGGCAAGTCAGTCACGTAGCATCCCGACACCTGAGCGGTGACAGCGGCAGGCATTCTAGAATGGCAATTAAGAGATCGGTTGATGTCGGTGCGTTGTTAACCGGGGTCCACCTTTTAACGATCTCAATGGCATTAACGACTCCGAGAATATGTTGCCGAATCCACTCTCACTTTCCACGGACGCAGAGGCGCGGACGTGCGAGGAGGCTCCCGGATGGACCTAGGGCAAGCGCCATCCATCATCTGCTCGAGATTAATTGGGAGTAGCGCCTACGTTGTTGCACTTCCAAAATGGCCTCTCTTTACGTAAGAGAACAATGAAAGAGCCAGAGAGAGAGAGAGCGAAGCATCTGCAGGACCTGTGGGTCGCAAAGAAACACATCATTTTTCCTTTTTTCCCAGATAAAAATATTCCTCTTTGATCTACTTATTAGGTATCGGGTTGCAGGGTGACATGTCCATGAATGATCAAGACTATCGTGATTAATTGTCGATCTGATAAATAAAGTACGAGAACTCGAGATCAAAGCGACTAGAGATCGAGTCTGCTACCAAATAAAGATAAGGAAATTGGCCAATATTCTTGGATAACAATGTAGGTGTGGTCCGGAACCAGCTTAGAAAGATTTTCGTGACTCCGTTTGGGAAAGGTTGACGAGGCCGTCCACCAGGACATGCTCGAGACCAAAAAAGAAGGATAACCACAAAAATATATAAAGGACTAAATAGAACCGCATTAACCTCGTGAATTGTCCAAGATCTTATCTCGATTTCCTGGGGCTCGTGTTTCTATACGTAAACGTCGAACCTGAGCCACCTCGTGCACAGAGTGGACATAGTCCAGCAGCCAACCGACTGGAATTGGCTACCTGGTGGTCCGCTGTCGTCGAGTGCACGGAGCAATTCGATTCTTCGTCCGATATTATTACTGCTGCCAATATTAATCCCTGCCATTACTTCCCTAGGTCGATTCGGCTCAGCAGGGTCGTGCAACGAACACGAAGCTGCCAGTTGGCAGTTGACCACGCGAACTGGCAGCAAACGAAGGAAAAGTGAGCCGGTTGGCCTTCGCCTCAACGACCAAGCTTGCTCGCCCTAACCAGCTCAATTCATTTGGACGTCCTTTTACCTTTTATCAGGGGCGGCTGACAATCCATTTTTTCCATCTACTTTTAACTCAATAATCTTACTAGGGACTACGAGGTCTCACAGGAGAGCACCAAGATCAAACGTGGAATTACCAGGTACGTTTAATACGCCAGTGCGACTCGACTTCTATTGAATGTTTGTTGAGGTCGAATTCACCGTGAATTCAATCCTCGTAATAAAGTCTTCAGAACCAGGAATCATGTGACCATACTCAGGCTCGTTCGGGCCAACACGCTTCCCTCAATCGAATCCCGTCCGGACCGAGCAGAGTTCACCGGATTGACCTGGCCCCTCGAGCGATCCTTAATCGACGCATAATACAGAGCAAGAGGAATCTGCGGACCGGCTGCCCGTGCATGGCGTCACGGTGTGTCTGGCTGGGACTAAAAAGAGTCACACACTAATAACTGGAGCACCGTTGTGTAAGCTAGTGGGTGGCCGCCTTTCTCCGCGGCGTTTCAAGTCGCCCAGGAATTCCGGTAAGGACGAATCGACACGTAACTCTGCGTAGATGCTGAAAAGTTAAAATCTACCCTTTATAAGAGAAATAATAGCTCTAACGAAAGTCCAAATATTGAATTACCAGCAGGTAGCACATTCTATCGATGTGGCATCCCGATAGTATCGATAGAAGCGAATCCCTTCGCTTGTAGTTTGAAATATCCTCTCGCCGAGCATCAACAGATCTGATAAAGAAATGTCTTAAGTGGTCCGCACCCTGATCGGTCGATCGACCCAAATTAGATTTAGGCAGATCGCGTGCCGACAAGCATTACGATTCTCGTTTATGTAAGCCGACTTTACACGCCTACATGCGTATGCTCGCGTGCGTGCTGCCAGAACGGACACGAAGGACAATGGTAACAGTGCCATTACATAGATATATATAGATATAGATAGATATACTATAGACACATTAAATACACCTATGGCCGTTGCATAGATTTCAATATGTCGTAACGTTATTATGGGCACCGCGAACGACGCGGACTGGACACACATACGTGGCGCACGTTCCCTTCTATCATAATAACAGCGCAGAAGTTAATCGGGCCCGACAATGGATAATCGGTAACGCCACACTCTCGTCTTATCGCCATTTTTATTCTCTCTCTATTTCTCCTTTACTATTCACGCGAAAACCTCGAGCCATGCAGTAATCGCGTTTCTCCTGAAGAAACAAATAGAAAATTCTCCAAATGTACACGATACATTTGGCAATGCAGGTATGTGGCTGCATGTCGAAACCGAGTTTCCTTCGTCTTCGCCGTAAGAAATATCCGCGACGAATTTTTGAAACCCAACCAAATAAATGAACTCCCGTACGCTCAAAGGGGTCAATCGGGTCATATTGAGTCAAGGATTCGAAACTCTGATCGTATCAGCGATGCACGTGGATATGCAGCCTAGGACATTTTTTCCAAACTAACCGGTATAATCGCTTTCCGATTAAAAGTTCTCCGTCTCTCGATCGCTGGAGGACACAAAATGGCTCTTGCTCTATCGGAAAAGACATTTGCGACAAGTGAAATGTCACGCAAACCAGATTGACAGATCCCACGTGTAGTATAAACGCCGTATGACGTCCGTGACCAATAACTGTCCTGACGTTCTTGTGATCTATGAGATGTTCATCGCGACGGAACGATCGCGCGCACGAGAAACTCAGCCGAAAGCGAAAGGAGTCGAGTCTATAGATTGTGCACACGTGCATAGATTGCACGGGGACGCATGTCTAGATCTAGCGTTACATGTATCTATATAGATATATGTATATAAAGTTTGGGGAGCAGAATTTCAGCAAGGCTACCGCCGCCCCTTTCATAAATTTCTTACTGCGATATCGCTGGAAATGTGCGTTCATATTTGTCTGCAGGTATACCATATCACACGTGGACGCAATCATTATCCACGCTTGACATTCTTTCAAGCTAATTTCGTAAGAATCAATCGGTTTTGAGGATCGATGACTTTCAAACGGTCTTACCGACACGACTTTGAATGCCAGGATAACGAACCGGTCGACGATCCTTACGACAGGACACGCTCGATTCCCAGCGGACCGGCAGTGTATTTATTTCCAGAAAGTCGCGCGAGAGAAGCTGTTAGCTTGAAAGTATCTTGAGAAACTTGGTTTTTTGTGGGTTTTCAACGAACTGGGAGGACATTGCGTAACCCCTCGATTCGATTCTCTCGGCAGTCTCTTTCCCTCTGAAAGTTCTGTCTCTGCGCATGCGCCCCTGGACGTCAGTTGCCAATTCGAAAACTGACACGCTTCCACTTTCAATTAATTCCATGTGCGCGGAAAAGAAAAATCCGCTTTAATAATCGATACATTCTCTATTATCATATAATCGTCTGGCTTTTGCCTTGCTCTGCTTTTCTCATGTATTTTGCCACAGTCACAGGGGGCAAAACGCTCTCTTTCCGTGTAGCTGCACGCGTATGCATGCTACATTTTTAACGAGTCTGATGGTTGGAATCAGGAATTGAGAACGTCGACATATCTTGAGATCAAAGGACGTTCGGAGTTTACCTTTTCTTTTTGTCGTCCACGACTTCCACGGCACTTTGAAGGCCATACAAGATTTTTGCTTGCGAATAATCCGACTTCGGAAATCATTTTCAGACGTTTTAATTAGCGCTGCTTACGTATCGCGTACGCGACCCTTCTTGCGACGGGGACAAGAAAATATTTGACATTCTCAAATAACAACGACACCCTCGTGTGGAAACCATTAGTGACACCAGCCGCTCTTTTCGCCAGACTTGAAAGTCTCTTCGATTGTTAAAACTGGGAATTGTACAGTCCGATTGCCATGAAGGTCGATTCCGCCATATCCGGTTGGTTGGACGTGGACGGCAGATCGAGCCCGCTGCTGTCTTCGAGAAGAGAATACGTTCCTCGAGTGATGTCGAGGAACGTATACCTTTTCTTTTAAATGGAAAATTTTCGAAAAATTCAGACGACCTACGTACAGGAAGTGGCTGTGAAGTGAAGATATTTTCATTCTTAAAGAGCATACCTATACACGTAGGTTTTTATGCAGACGATGCTGACCTAAACCGAAGAAGTAATTATCGTAATATCACTAGACTCATTCACGATAATGCATGATAGATAACCCTACTTTTTTAATACCTCACAAGAAAAAGAGAAATTCCGTGGATGAAGAAAGAAGAAAGATGCGAGCCCGCTCTTCATAGAATCCACTTTGATCTTTCTCGCTCTGTCATTTGAATGGTTTTACGGACTTGAACTAAATAATACAATAGTAAGTAGAAGCTGAAATTCCAAAACTTCAATGCCACCGGATTCACCACGCCCATGCCCAAAGGGGTTTACCTTGGGTAATTACTATTCTAATGTTGTCACCTTGATCCCAGTGTTACGAGGCGAAACGAAACGTATCTGTATCTATCGTATCGTATCGTATCGCAGGAATGTCATGACGCGTGATACGATTACGCCCTTTCCGCCGTTTACCTATGGCATTTTTAATCTTTGAACGGTACAGCGGCAGGTCCAGTCTCACAAGCTGGGAAAAGCGGACGGCTTCGAGATTGGATGCACTTTTTCAAATTGTCTTGGGTCACGAATGACGCTTGACTTCGTGATCTGGAGCACCCACGCCTTTCTACTAGATTCGTCAGACATGACTGTTCCCTTTTCTACTTTCGACATTACCGACGGTCAAGGGGCCTTCCTTGTCCCTGACGTCGATAATATTCACGGCAAAACTGAAACCATGTCATTTGACCAGTCATTTTTAGAGACAACAACCTTTAATTTTACCGCAATTGATCCTAAATTATCTTCAGAAGTATGATTTAGGAAAAAAAGGGGTTCAATTTAACCAGAAATAGTATCGCAAAGAAAGTCTAATCACAGTCTCACGGTTTGGTTGACAAATACTTGTTATTTAGAAAAAGTTTGACATTTTTTTATTAGCCAAATCATCCGCCTCGTCAGCTTCGCTCTCTTGGTGTTATTCGACTTGAGAGAAATAGGCACAATATAATACGAAGGAGAAGAGAATTTACGAAGAACTCACAAAAAGTTGTAGCCCCGCGATTTTCATATCGCCATTAAAGAGAAAAGCATGACGCAATCAGTGGACGCTTTCCTTGCTTCGCTCGTAACGTTGTAACTGACAGTTCGCGGATACTTGTGTAATGGCGACCGATCCAGCCGACAGTTCACCTTTAACGAGCTGCAATAGATAAATGCCTGCGTTATGGCCGCCTGGAGGATCGATCTTCAGTAAATCCTAGATCTAGGTACATTCGGATAGGATTCAAGTAGATCTTCGCGTCAGTTGGCATTTCCTTGCAATCGTCTCCCACGTCCTAGCGCCGATCCATCTCTAGGTCGTAAATCAGCTGTAAGAAGATGAAATCAGCAAGATTGATGAATCAACCGATCGATAACATCTCCGGAGAGTCAGAAGATGCTTCTTCACTCGCGATAATTTAACAATGAGCCCGTCACGAGCTCACCTCTGATAACACTGAAAAACGAACGATGGCTCGTGAAACCGTTTTTCTCGTGGATTAGTAAGTGACGATGGCACGAGTCATTGAGGAACATCATCACGTACGAACCGACTGACAAAGATTTTCAGTTATCCTGAGAAGTCAAACAAAATGAGATCGACGCTCACGTAACGTAATTAGTGAATAATAGATTGTTAGAAACCAAGTCAGTTTTCATGTCGATAAAGGGTCGAAGTGTGCGAGTAGTGCTCCAGGGTTTGTTTCTACGGTTCTTTATTATCGTTTATCTCTCTATAGCAGACGATAAGCACCGGTTATAAGAGCAGTTGTGCCATTCTTGGCGAACAAATACTTTTACTTGTAACACATTCGCAACGTGTTTGACAGTGCTTTGCCAGTTTGCTCTAGTTTCGAGAAAGGTTATTGACCAATCACTAATCACCGCGACGAAATTAATCTGAACTGTTACCGAGGCGCTCGGGACGCAGTCGTTTTGCGAGGTTCAGTGCACAAAGTGCCTATTGATCATAGAGTCTTTAGAAAAAAAGCTATTTCCAAAAGTAACCACGTTTCCTTCACATCTAGGTCACAGGCGTAATCAGACCCTTTTGTAAACTGGTAATCGAAACCAGCGGGCTTTCATAATGGATTCGCACGATTTGTGCTAATTTGGCTCCTACTGTTACTCTTGGATTTCTTAGACTTTTAATGGCCTAGAAAGCAGTTTCTTTCAATGAAACAGAATCCTGGGAAACTAAAGTTGCCATTACAATTTTACTTAGCTTCTTTATTAACTTTTTAAACTTAACTAATATACATCACTCGTCTCGACGTTCTTTGATATTCGGCACAATTTATAACTTATTTTCCCTCCCGATAAGCATGTATTTTCATATTAAGGAATCCTTCTGGAAGCAATATTCGTGCTTAGCAATACAATTAAGTTAGGATTCTGGCACTTGGCCCTCTATGAGGGCATAAAGCCACAAGGAACAAGAAGAAGAAGTTAGAATTAAGATGTTCTTCCTTTAGCATGTTTTTTAATATAGCCGAATAAAAATTATCGAAAAGGCAAACTGATTGTGCACAGTGAAACATTTGCCCAAGTTCTCCTGAAGCACTTCAAACGAAATGCAGGGCATACACTATTCTACCAGTTATCAATGGTTATGGCATCGTTTACCTTCACAAATTATCTTAATAGTTCCAATATGATAGAAAAAGGCGCTGTACAGGTGACATTTATCTATGATTATCATTATGTACAATATGATTTACAAGCGTGTATACGCGCAATTATTTCTCGTTTCTCTTTAATACTCTTACCTGCACGCGGCTAGATAGGTAATAGTTGGGCGCAAGTATGTTTTTTGCTTAAAAATCAATCGCATGTAAACTCCACATATTTTAGGCCTTGATTATTTCCATTTTCGCTTCCTTGTTCTTCAAGTCTATGAGAACCTGCGAAATTTACATTATTCATTGTACAACATTCGATTGGTACGATTTCATACTCTTTTTTTTTTTGACGAGATACTGATACTTCTAGGAATATCTTAAACAAAATGGATAACTACACGCAACTTTAAAATTAACTAACTCACTTTGCCGGAAGATTTCATTTCCAGGACAAATTTTTTCGCTTCATTAATGTTGTATAAGCCGGTTACCATGGATATAATTGGCCTGATAAGACCTTCTTCGAAAAAGTCCAAAACATCATCACCTGATTGCCTATTTGAATAAACAAATCCGATAATTACAAACTGCAAGGGATCAATCAAAAGGCGAACGTACCGATATAATTTATGATTCTTTCTTCTGTATTCTCTCAAACTGAGCCCTGTCAGACTGAAGGAACCTTCTTGCGCCTCAGTTTGGGGATTGACAACGTTTGCCGCGACACCAGCCACAATCATGCGCCCTTCATGACAAATATTATAATTAGATCATGGCTTTTTGTTAATTGTAAAACGTTTTAAAATGAGATTGTACCTTCTCGAGATAAGTATTGAACCACCACGGCAAAATTATTGTCACGTAATATATCCTTCACAGCTGTTTTTGAGTTATAAACATCAGTGAAACTGTAAATATAAAGATAGTTTTTCTTCTCATAATCTCTTTTTATATCTCAAATTTCCAACTCTCCCCATATATCCCCCCATTTTTTAAAAATGTATGGACATCATATGAATCCATTATCTTACCACTTTAGAAGTTTCTTAAAATTTTCTCCAGCAACACCATCGAATATAGCTTTAATGCTGCGATCAGCAGCTGCAGCTTCAATTTGCTTTATTAATTTTTTGTCACTAAATTTAAATGCTGCGAATGCTCCTTTATCTCGCACAAGAGCCGCTCTTTCCTCTGTGGCGCAGACAGCGATTACCTGAAAATTTTTTGTAACAATCATGGAAATTATCAATGCTCCACAATAAATACGTTCTACATACCGTGCCTCTGAAAACATTTGTGGCAAGATCAACAGCAGCTAAACCTGCACCAGCCAAACCAACATTAATCAGAATTAAATCGTTCTCTTCAATTCCTGCATGCTTCTCCAAACCAATTAGTGCCGTTGTATAATTTTCCAATATGCAAACAACATCACGCAATTTGGCCGATTGTGGAACTTTCCAAATATCCTAAAAGTATTATATTATCAAGTAAAGGTTACTCAGTTACAACACCTAATGGCTTGTAAAAATCTTGTGAAAAGAGACCCCAATTTCTGCAACACATTGCTCTGCAAATCCTCCATGACGTTCCTTATTTAGGGCAATAATTTTATCTCCTGGTTTGTACCCTGCTTTTTCAGCCTCTTGACCAACTTGAATAAGCTCACCCACCAGCTCATATCCTAGCACTGTTGGAAGACTAGGTTCAAACATATAGATATTTTCAGCAAGCAGTACATCGGAGCCATTGAGAGCACAGTAATGTACATCTATAAGAACCTAATAAGAAAACATGATTCATTAGAGCATTCCAATAATCAAAACAGAGATACAAATTAATACATTTTTTATTTGTAAAATACTGTCGATAATGAATATTCAAGCGCAATAGTTAAACTATCATTGTCAATCTCACCTCATTAGGTTGCACAACTTTTGGCTGTTCGATATTTTCAATGCTCAGTGGACTAGCAAACTTTCTGAGAACGGCAGCATGAATTTTGCCTGGCTCTGGAGCCGGTATGAGTATCTTCGAAGTGTTCTCCGCATCCGATACAATTTGCGTCGTAGCTGTGCTACTGAATCTTCCTCTGACAATTCTTGATAAAATTTGATTATGGTTCTTTAAACAAAGTCGTGAAAAAATTTGACGTCCCGCGGCCAATGGCATTTTTATTAACGTATTTCTTCTTGATATCCAAATATTTTTATGTACATTTAACCGGTATAACCTAGTACGTCCAGTATCATCTGATACGCTACAACAAAATACTACTTACTACATCTGTAGCGGAACGTTGGAATTGAACCAACTTTCAAATTTGAATAATTAAAGAATAAATAATTCGTATATTATGTTATTTATTCATTTATGTGTACAGTACTACATCTTTATACGATATCTTATACATTTAATAGTTTATAATAGGTCCTGGAACTTATATGCTTGAAATTCATCATTTGAAATATTTTTTTTTTATTAATGGAAAGACATTTGATATACAAGATCTTCATTCATGAGGTCCTCAATCCAATATTTTTCCAAAACATTTTACAACTTAGTTTTTTTTGGGCAGGAGGCTTTGACCAATCAACATTAAGAATAAGATGATCGTATCCACAGCCATTAAGCGTGCTGATGGCCATGGCAGCTTCAGCTCGGAACTTGAAATGTGCATAAGCAAAACCTTTGCATAAGTTGGTTTTCTGATCTTTTGCAAGAAAAAGCTTTTTAGTAAGACCAAAAGGTTTGACAAGTTCTTTCAATTCATCATTTGTCATGTAGTGTGACAAATTTGAGATCTGGATTGCATAGGTGACATTGCGAGGCTTCTGCATTGAATCACAATGTTTATTTCCTCTGCCTCGCATGCTGGATGGCCCATATTTGCTACCCTGAGGCTTATCAAGTTCAGTATTTGCACTGGGCATTGCAAGACCTAATAAAGGTTTCATGTCATCCAGTACTTTTCCTGAAAAATCTAATCATCGAACACAACTTGTTAAGCTTGTAAAAAGTTTGTAATCTTTAATTTACATACCACCAGCAAGAACACTACCCTTGTAGGGACATTTTGAGGTCCAATGACCTTCGTGACAGTTACGGCACTTAACGACACCTTTGTCATCCATCGTTTTAGGTTTATATTGTTTAACTTGCCTACCACCAGGTATAATGGCATGCTTGTAACGACATTTTTTGGTCCAGTGATTTCCATTACAGTTATGACACTTAATGGCATTCTTATCATCTATTCTTTTAAGCTTACATCCTTTAATTTGCATACCATCAATAACAAAGGTACGCTTGTAACGACATTTTGGGGTCCAGTAATTTCCATTACAGTTACGGCACTTAAAAACAGCCTTGTCTTCCATGCTCTTAAGCTTCTCGTGGGAATCACCCTCAACTTTATTCTCTTCTCCCTTATTTGAAATGAACTGCATAAAAACGTCTTTTACTGCACAGTAATAACAGGGTTTTTTCTTGATGTTAAATTATATTTCTACATATAATCTAGCGCGTTGAACAATAGCTGATACACGATAACGAATTACTATTGGCTGGTTCCTCGGGGATCGAACGAAGGTTAAAATACATTGAATATATACCTAATATTCGTTATATACTTATAAATACGCAATACATGCTTTTCATCTAACATCACTTCAGTGAAAACGTAGCTGCTGTCGACTAACAAACCGTCGAAATTGAAACAACTTTCAAATTTGAATATTGAGAGAAAAGTAATTTATATATTTTTATGTATGTTTCCCACTTAATGGTTTATAAAAGAAAGGTTTTGGAACTTATATGTTTGAAATTCATTTGCAATATTTTCTTTATTCATACAATGTCACCTGATGTACAAGATCTTCATTCATGAAGTCGACAATCCAATATTATTCCATGAGATATCTTACAACTTAATTGTTTTGGGCAGGAGGCTTCGACCAATCAACATTAAGAATAAGATGATCATACCCATAGCCGTTAAGCGTGCTGATGGCCTTGGCAGCTTCAGCTCGGAACTTGAAGTGTACATAAGCGAAACCCTTACATAAGTTGGTTTGTTTATCTTTTGCAAGATAAAGCTTCTGAATAAGACCAAAAGGTTTGACAAGTTCTTCCAAGTCAGCATCTGAGGTGCTCTCTGACAAATTGGATATTCGAATTGCAGTGGTGTCATCGCGACGCTGCATTTGCATTGAATCACCACGTTTGTTTCCTCCGTCTCGCATACTGGGTGGCACATATTTGCTACCTTGAGGTTTTCCAAGTTCAGTAATTGCACTAGGTACTCCAGGACCTAATAGAGGTTTCTTATCATCTGGCACTTTTCCTGAGGAAAAAAAATCATTCAACAAAACTTGTTAAAGTTGTAAAATTGTTGAAATTTGTATTCTTTAATTTACATACCACCAGCAAGAACAGTATCCTTGTAGGGACATTTCGAGGTCCAATGATCTCCATTACAATTACGACACTTAACAACACCCTTGTCACCCATGCTTTTAAGCTTGTCAAGGGAGTCGTCCTCAACCTTATTCTCCTCTTCTTTATTAGAAATGAACTGCATGAAAACATCTTCTGCTCCAACAGTGGTAGCAGGATTGGGACCAGGTCTATCGTCAGCCGAATCTCCAAATTTGCTCCAGGCCTTACGTGCGGCAATCGTTTTTGAGACGATGCGCCGTTCAATTTTATAAGTACGCACTACTTTGACTTTCTTGTTGTCATCATTATATTTATATTCTGTGAGAATTTTGAAGCCATTTTCATAAACTTCTGATGGAGGTGGTAGCGCTCCTCCTTCTTCCTCGACTTCATCTGCCCAGCTGGACTTTACTTCGTGTGTGATATCTGGCATTTCTTGAAACCTAAAGAAATAATTTCTTCATTGTTTATTGATGAAACACATATAAATGATTCTATAAAACGTTCGATATTAATAAATTCAGTTTTACGCAATTGAAATATCATTAATATATCACAAATACCTCTAACATTACAAACAGTTAAATAATTGTAGTTTTATTACGTTTATAGGTTAATAATGTACGTAATAGAAATCTCGAGAAATATAAGTAGAAATATATACGTGATAGATGATTGTGCAGCTAGTCCAGTATAATCTTATTCTTGCAATGTATACGCAACTTGGGAAAATAAAAATAAGCACTAATATTTAGGAGCTACAAAATAATATGCTGTACAAAGTGGTATTTCACGTGGACTGAGTTTGTCCATTGGAAGAGACTAAATGTCAAAATATGAAGAGCTATGAATTAAACATTATTAATTTAGTTACTCACAGAAGTTATCTTCTTGAAATTGATTTTGAAAAACTGCAAGGAAATATTTAGTTTTAGGAAAAGTGACAACCACCCAACAACTGTCGATAAACGGGGATGAAATGGAGGAGCAGCCGCGTGCGACAGGCGACTTCAACGCCGCCACACGGTTTTTCTGTCGAAATGGTAGTATCCTGAAAGAATGGCGACGTCTAGCGTTGTCGTGTATTTGTAAAAATAATGTTTCTTCGGTTCGATTTTCCATTAGAGATAAGTCAGAATCTGATTATTTAAAACAAAAAGTGAAACGATCGAGCGTTGGTGAATTAAGCGCACTCAAAAGATGGACCAAGCGCCTGCAGGTAATACATGAATCGAGCCATTTACATACCCGGCCGTGCGCATATTTTAATATTTCTTAAAAATTTGAGTCAATTTTTATTTAGGCCAAACAATGCAATATTAGGTATATACAAATTTAATTAAAGAAAAATTTTTAATTTTAACATTTCGTTTTTGCACTTAATTGATTGAGAATTAAAAAAACGCGCTTTTCAGTAGGTTATGTGAAGAGTAAGATGATGAGAACACTGTTTCGATTGTAAATTTCAAGTATTAATGTCTCTAGCGCGTGCATCTTTTTACATACTGGCAATAGTTCTGTAGTGAAAATTATTGCATGACTATTGACATTACTCACATAAATTATTTCTAGGTATACAAATTTTAAACACAGATGAAATTCTTTAATTTGAAGATAAACTGTTTCTCTGTTATTTTGTATTTGATATTCCCTATAGTTGATATATAAAATTTAATATCACTAGAAGCTATATGGTTTAAAAGAATATTACCTTACATGTATTGATTAAACAGAGATGATTTAATACTATGAATAAATTATTCTAATTATATATATATATATATTAATGATTTTTTTGTTACTCAATATGCAGATACGGAACTACGTAACATCATAGATAAACTAGCACAGTTTGTGGCTCGTAACGGCCCAGAATTTGAGCAGATGACTAAGAACAAGCAGAAGGACAACCCAAAGTTTGGTTTTCTGTTTGGCGGAGAACACTTCAATTATTACCAGTACAAAGTGACTACGGAGCAAGCCAGTAAGTGGGACAAAGCCCCTTAACAGCTACATCAATTGAGAAGCATATGAAGCGAAAGCTCATTTGTCAAATGAGGAGCGAACTCGAGAAAACGAGAGAAAAAAGGAGAAATCATGCGACAGATTCTCTTTGAATGCATCGACATATTGAAGATCTTTGGATCGTATTTAGACATGTTCAACAAGTTCAATACAGAAGCCTCGCGAGTTACTAGAGACCAACACCATTTTTAGGGTGCGAGAAGATGTAGTTTTTAAATTTTTGTCGGGATTAGATAATGTGACGGACGTAGATAAAAAAAAAGTATTTCTTCCACATCTGTGGAAACTAATAAGCTGCCTCTAATAAAATGAGCATACTGTCAGTATCAAAGTATAAAAAGAGGGAGTGATTCCAAGGCATTTTGAAAGCCTAGCGACTCACAATAGACTTTACACATAAGTAAAATACAATAAGAATATAATACCAAGAACGCCTTCTCGCGCCATCCTGTAGAAGATAAGAAACTGCGGAGATTGGACTATTAGTATATTTTTTTTTCACTAACAATCAAAGGATCAAGCGACTTACAATAATCCACCGTCATTCGTTTACAGTTTTAAAGCAAAAAGGAATAAATCCAATGCAAAATGCAGACCCACGTTTAAACGTTTCGCAGCAGCAGCAAACAGCCGCAACCGTCGTGCAGCCACTGAATAACGTCGGTCTTGCGTCAAGCCTAAATACTCAGAACAACGGCTTAAATCAAGTGGTCGGAATTGGGCCAGTCGGGAATCCAGGCCCCGTTTTACCGGGAGTGCCCGGGCCAATCGGAGGGCCGGGAAATGCAGGACCATCGATCGGAGCAGTTCCTGGGACGATTTCTGGCAACGTCAATCCTCCTGTCGGTGCAGTGACCCAAGGAGTTAACATCAGTGGCCCACCAGGATGGCTCCAAAGCGAACTGGCGAGTCTTCAGTCGCAACAGACTACTCTCCAGGAACAAGTTAGACAATCGGAGCAAAACCTAGCTGCCCAGCATGCTGCACTAATGGCGCAACAGCAAGGAAGAGTCGAGGATGCTGTGAGGCAAGCGCAAGAGACGGCTCTGCAAAATAATGCACAAAACACGAACACTGATCTCGCTGCTTTTGACACGGTCTTACAACCCATCATTGACAGTTGCACAAAAGACAGCATAAGCGCAGGAAAGGCGTGGATACTGCAGCATTCAATTTCACCACAGAGCAACCAGGTTGTCGCCGAGTATTTACTCAAAAAGTATGCATTACCTTCTACATTATAATATAGACTTTTAAATGAATTAACTCTGAATAAGATTGAGGAACCTCGCAATAAGCTGTATCTCACATTCATAAATTTATTAGTATTAAATCCATTTCAGAGTTATTCAGGGATCAACATTTAGCCAGAAGCTTCATATTATCTACTTGGTAAACGATGTATTACATCATTGGTAAGTCAGAAAATCCTCGTAAAAGATAGATATACGAGTGAGATGTTTATCTATCTATAAATAAGCGTATCTACTGTTGTACGCTCTGAGTAACAACACAAAAAAAAAGAATGGAAAAAGGCAGCTACAGTTGTAGTAGGAATCCATCAAAGAGGCTGTAACGCAATCGGTGTATCTTTTAGCGCAAGAAAAAAGTCAATGGACCTTCGGAAAGCAATGGAAAGCGTCGTTGTTCCCATGTTCTGTAACACGTCATTGGCTGCATCAGATGAGCAACTGAACAAGCTAAACAAGCTGCTCAGTCTTTGGGAATCAAAGAATAATTATTTCGATGAAGGCATCATAGAGAAACTTAAGCAGCCAAGCACGTCCTGGTCAGAGTACCAAGCGAATTTAGTGGCACAGTATGCAAGTGCCATCACACCGATCACTGCCTCAACTAAACAGACTTTTGATAATTATCAAGCGCAACATCAGGCATTCGTCAATCACGCGCTCAGGCAGATACAAACTATCGAACAGCAAAAGATAGCGATCGACCAACAGCTGAAGGCGCCACCACCACAGACTCCGCAGATGGTAGGAAATTCACAAAAGAAAATACGCCTCCTTCAGATTATTTTAAACAAATTTTATTCTCATGAAGTGCATTGCTTTAGAACCAGCAAAATCTGAATATTCCTCCGAATCATCCTGGTCCGCCGCCGGCCATCGGAGGAGATGTTAATTTCAGTCAACCGCCTCCAGGATGGGGAGTTCCCCCTACAAATGAACCACCACCTTTCACCACCGTTCCACTACCGGATTTTTCCAAACCACCTCCTGGATTCGGACCGCCACCTATCATTCATGAACCCTCTGTCGAAGACCTCATGCCCAGTATGCCTTATTTCGAACTTCCTGCCGGTTTAATGGTGCCGCTGATTAAACTGGAGGATGGTGAATATAAGCCTCTTGATCCTGATGCTATCAGATTACCACCTCCAGCGCCTCCTAGCGACCGGCTCGTTGCAGCTGTTGAAGCATTTTACGCACCGCCGAATCACGATTCTCCTAGGGACAGGTAACACTTTTATCTTTTATACATTATGAAACATAACTATTACTTAAACATTACGTAACAATGTATAGCTAGTGTACCGATAGCTTCTCATTTATCTTAATCTCCATTCTAACCCATTGTTCTTTATTTGAATTGTCTTGACAAGCGGCAAGGTAGGCCAACATCATACTTTTTTTTTTCCTCTAAGAGTCACTTCATGACCAAAAATCTGCGAAATCAAATACTGTAAATTGACAATCAACATTTTTCATGTTGTTGCAGCGATGGCTGGGAAAAATTAGGTTTATACGAATATTACAAAGCGAAAAATGGTGCACGTAAGCGCAAGGAAGAAGACATTATGTCAGGATTAAGACAAAAATCCAAATCACCATCGCCAATACTGAGGCCGCGTTCGAAGAGTCCAAGTCCACCAAAAAAACGATACAGAAGCAAATCTCGTAGCAGATCGCGGTCGAGATCTCGAGGTAGAAGCAGATCTAAATCGCCTACAACCAATCACAGACGCAACAATCGTACTAGCAACCATAACAGTAGAAGTAGAAGAAGAAGAAATAGCAACAAAGACAGAAGTCCAGACAGAAGAATCGACCGACAGGATCGTAGTCCTACGCCACCAAGTTTCCTGTGAGTATAATTATTCCTCAGATTCATTCTATAAATATTGTGCTGTGATTAATGTGAAATTGAGAACGAATATAATGACTGCTTTTTGTACAATTAGTGGCTCCACGTACAGCAAAGCCACGCAAGAAGTAAGTCTCGACGAGAGCAACAAGGGACATCAGTTACTAAAGAAAATGGGCTGGGGAGGAGCAGGTCTTGGCGCAAATGAGCAAGGCATCGAAGCACCAATTTCCGGTGGCGAGATACGCGACAAGAACGATCAGTACAAAGGTGTCGGAATTAATTTGAATGATCCCTATGAAAACTTCCGGAAAAGCAAGGGTCAAGCATTCATCACTCGAATGAAGGCGCGTGCAGAGGAGCGAGCCGAAGAACGAGGCGACCGCGACTGATTCCGTGCATCCAAGTAAAAGGATTCCTCAATCGTGTTAACACTAGTGCTGCCATCGCAATAGTGAATGTGTGATACGATATATCGTAGGCATATTTCTTAACACAAGCGATTGCCATAAAATTTGTAGATTTCTCTTTGAAACAATGTGTATATCGCTCCGTGGAATGCAAAATTATGACGATTATCAATTTACTTTGAGAAACTACGCTGGGAAGAATATTTTTGCGGATGATTTATGTTTCAACGGCTCAGTCTTGATTTTCTTTCAATTTTAAAGTGATAAGTCTAGATATATAGCGAATGAATTTTCTTTGGATCGATTGAATTTAGCGCGTTTTTGTGTCGAAGAAAATAGAGGTGGGCAAGAACGATGGCTACATTTGCTCGTTCTCATATTATTATATACATTCTGTACTCAGCGAAGCCTCAAACGAAATGTAAGACTTTTAAGACATTGAAATTCTTTCGCAACGTGCATTTAAAATCGCAATTATTTTCTTTCTGAGCACTTTTGTCAGTAATATATTTCCCCATAGATTCACTGGTGTTCTACTGTCTCTTTGAAAGAAAAGAAGTGATATGATGTCGAGCAGAAATAAATACTGAGAAGGATTCAATTGTCAATTCCTAAGGAACGAAGAACGTCCCTTCCATTACGATTACATTTATGTAATTGTGTGATAACTTTCATCATAATCAGTACGCCTCCATATTTTTCCATTCATCGGATACGGGTGTAATGCTGATAATGTTAATAAATGCTGTGCTTAGAAGGAGAAAAAAGCACATCACTATTATAAGAAAACGTTCTGCGGAAGTACACTGATGTTATAGAATGCGCAATCTTATCTACGAGTGTTTCGAGTTTTCACTATGGTTTCCATCATCTACTCGTGACAGTAGACAATCGCATAAATGATTATTGCATTGGTCATAATGACACCTACGTCGCGTACAGATTAGTACAATTTCAACGCGAATGAATATTACTAAACATTCGTCATAAATGATATAGAAAATAAAATTCAAGATAATACGACAAATGTATTTATATTTAATAAATACTGAATATATTGAATATAAATTGATAGAACGATAGTAGCTCAAGAATAAATGCTGTAAATTTCCTACAAAAGGATCTGGCACTTTCTTGATCATATGTATTCCTTATCGTCATAGTGTTGCCAGTAAGAACAAAAGTCAACCAACATTAACATAATTTTGTAATTCTGTGCGGTAGGAAAAAAGTAATAGAGACGAAACGCAGGTTTCATTCGGTTTCTACGATCGCGGAGTCGAATAATCGGGAGTTAATAAAAGAAAAGTGGTTCAAAGAAAGAAGAGAGGAAAGTATAAATCAATCGTAGAAAAGATACATCTAATACAGTTATGTAAAAACATTCGATCATCCAAAAGATATCAATGCGAGCGAGCTGCATCGATTTACAGAGCCTTCAAGATGTTGGGATGACAATTCTTGTGAGGCATCACGTGTTTATGATGGCGTGCAAGACGTAGAGAAAAAGAGAAACTACCACTGGCACTGGATAACTGGCTTGAGTGTCACTCGTGTCCAGTGAGTTTTTAATCGCGAATGCCCTATTGAACCCCCCCGAGTGAGAACTGATAGTCGAACCGAATAAATCCAACATAGAACCGGTTTGGTCTGATAAGAAGTCTTCGCGGACGGTCCGATCGAAATAAACAAAACTTGGATGATATATATGTATTTGGAATCAGTCGAAGCTGCGAACTGGTTCTCCGTATTTTTTATTTCTAGTTTAAAAAATTTCTTTTACCGAGTCTTTGCGTTCACGAGACTGACAACATCTATTTCTATCGCAACCTTCCAATTCTCTAACCGGGCAAAGATCATGCAAGGTGAAATCTATGATTATCGAATTCTCAATAGATGTCACTGCCTGACATTCGACCGCAGTCCGAGTATATCGACGAGTGACGAGTGACGACGATACTCTCGTAATCTCGTTCAATGTTCAATCTCCTGGCATGTTTATCTACGTATCGATTGACCCTCTGCTAGCCCTTGTTATTCTCTCGGTGGAGAATGCTCAAATGTTAACGAAGACTGACCATGTCCGACGAGATTTCACGAATCCTGGATTCAAACGTGATTCTCCTGTTCAAGCCGCCATGCTCACAGATTATTGTAAATATAAAAATCGACAAAAACGTGACTTGGACTTCTTCGAGATTATCCTCGTATGATCTTTCACTCGGCTCTCTCCTGTTTCTTCTCTGTTCTTCCCTAAGAGTATTTTTCCTTTTCTCTCTCTCCCTCGCTCTTCCTATGCATACGTGACTGTAACGTCTTTCCGGTTATGAAAATAGTTCTGACGCAAAATATCGTACATTTTTGCAACGCATTTTCGGCCGCCCATCCTTATCTCAATGTGTCGTGAACGACTTTGGCTTACGAGGCTCAGCAACACGTTCGAAAGAAACGTGACTCTGACTTTGCGACGGACACGTGAAGGGGATGAGAGAAGAGAGAGAGAGAGAGAAGCCGATAGGAGTCCATGGCGATGCGCACGGCAAAGTCTGTCACTGTGACGAAGTCAAAGCTATTATGGATTCCTTCGTAAGAAAGGAAACGGCAGGATACGATCTCGAATTATCCCACCTTGTGTAATCATGTATCTTTTGACACGAGTCAGTCCAATGAATCGCCTCGTCTATATCTGCTCCGCCTAGTGTACTCGCGATGCTTCGTGACGTGGCTACACTCGTGTTCGCCGGAAAGTGGCCCCTTCAAATTTTCGCACCGGTGGAGAAAGGAAACAGAAGAAAAAGGGATAAATATATTGAAACGCTCGAGGACATGAACGACCGACCATAGCACTGCCGTTTATATGCGTTTATACGAGACTGGAAATGTCATTGGAAAAACCAATGGCGTGTAGCTACATATGACAATCACTTATCTTTTAGCGATATTTAATAATCGCTCAGACATTACAGGCAAAGAAGGATACTCCTGTGACATATGTAGTTGCGATCGCTAGTATCTGAAAAAGTAACGTAATAAGTAAATACGTGGATCAGCGAATCTGATAGAATGAAACGTAACCGTAACCTCTTTAGCACATAATCCGTATTCTAATCGAGATCCCGCGCTTTCTCTAACTTCTTTTTTACCTAACTTCGATTTCAGTACCAGATACGGATGTGCAATGATGTACTCACAGAATGCTCTTTCAATTCCTCTTTTCCACCTTTCCGCCTTTCTCTAGAATAAATTCCACAAATTCCATCTCAGAAGTATCTCTGCTCCGCAACAATGAACCTCGGTACGTCATTTCTTGGTTATTATTGATTCAAATTTCAGAGAACACATTCAAGGAAAAGGCAGTAGAAGCGAAGGCTCGTTGCCTTTTAGAAATTGGAAGATTGCAAAATATATTCGGAACGTGAAGTTGCAGCAAGTCACGTAACGTGGCTGGAGAAAACGAGTAGCCCCGGCGCAAGGTACGCGACGCCTGGCAGACAGCACGAGTTGACGCAAGTCGCTCAAGCGAAGAGTACAAGAGTCGCGTTCCGTCGCCTTTGAAACCTCCTCTGTAGGTCTATAGGTGTATAGAGCTATGTCGACAAAGAGAGAGTGTACCACCGCGTTACATTCCACGTGATTCGGAGAGAAGGGCACGCCTCAGCTGCCAAGTCACGCGCCGTACCACGCTTCACCCTCTACACGACACGTGCATGCAATGCCTTACTTCAAGTGTAAAAACCTATTTGTTATTTATAATTATCGTTGGATCCTTACTGGAATAGCTTAAAAGCCATTATGCACGCGCGTAATGAAGCCTTTCACATTGTGCAAAGGGTCTCCTAATAGGAGCGAGAGTGACACGCACGTTCCTATGGTTTATTGCGTATAATAATGATCTACACTTATCGGATTTATCAGCTGCTCATAAGTAATCCAAAGGATGAGCTGAAATATAACGAATGAAGGTCGACGATTAATAACGCGACTGGCATCTAGAAACGGGTGAAACTATTGGATTCCCATTAGCTTGAAATATTAGGACGCGAAGGAGAATGAATGTAAGTACTATAATTATTAGAATCGAGTCTTCTGATTTTCCAAGGACATCGTATGGAGATTATGAGAGAAAGAGAGAGAGAGAGAAATCAAGTTTATTCGTTCAGGGGTAGACCCCGTAGACTGATTACATAAGAGAAAAACAAAATTAAATAATATAATAATAGATAATAGATGCACTAAGAGTCGAGGCAAGCAATACAAACAAAATCGGTATAAGCTACAAGAAAAACTTACTAGTAGAACAGCTAATTATTATTAGTGTAAGAAGGAAAGTATCACATGGAGTAAATCCTACCTAGCTTAGTTTATTTAGAATGTGCGAAGAGAGGATATAAACAGTCCTAACTTATAACTTGTAGGTTAGTATAACACACAGTGCCAATAATAATAATAGTAATACGAAGCCATTAATATGAACTACAATTTCGTGGTGGCGCCACGTGTAGAGAAGACTCGCGATCTTCGTCAGTATTCCACACGTGCTGGAACTTTGATTTCACGCTGGTACTCGCGTGTTTGGGTGGTCAAGAAAGAATTATTGGCTGTAAAAGGACAAAAGGAAATGTCAGACCGGAGATACGTATATAGCGTGAAGAGATAATTTTTCCGAAGCCTTGAACCGATTCGATGTGCTTGGCAAGTTGATGTTGCAATTGGTATCCACGACAGTTGACGACTCGGCACCATTTTATTGACAAGGGAAAAAAGGCTGCGGGATATAGAAATCATAGAAACCGGGTGTGCATGCGACTATTCATTTGACGCCTTTGAAAACTTTAAAACGTTTCCGCTACTAACTGTCCCGTCTAGAAGTCACGTAGGCCCCTGCCAAGTCGGCTGCTTTACGATTGCAAGAACGTCTAGGAGTGAGTTTGACTAAACTTGTAATCTTCAACCGATCGAACCTTCCCATTTTGTTCTATAGGAATTCCAGTTCTATAGGTACATGTATTAACATCATAAAACGAAGTGGCAGAAATTGCCAGCGGACTTTCGTACGATACAAATTGAGTATTTATTATTTAAATATCCGTATCTTAGCTCCACACGGTTATTGACGTTGCAGACTCGACGACATAATGGCAATTAGGGATAAACCATCTAAATCCCCGACACACGATAAGTGCGTCATTGCCATTTCATGGATTTTCGTAATACTCCGAATTAGTGGTATTCGGTATTAGTCGGTAATAGTCGGTAATAGTCGGTACTAGTCGGTACTAGTCGGTACTAGTCGGTACTAGTCGGTACTAGTCGGTATTGGTCGCTGATGATGCGATGATCCACTACGCTCGAGGACAACAGCTCCTATCACTAGGAAGACAATATCACGTGTAGCATCATCGAAATGTGCACGGATACTGTTGGCTCTCGCAGACGCCTGTCTTGTGCGTGCTCCTGGGCGAGAAAAGATTCAAAGAATGAACGAGAGGATGAGACTATCGGGCATGCAACACGGCGAACGAGACCGAGAATAGCTAATGGTTGCCACGGACCGCGTTTATTTTCTCCCGAGCCAGGCAGAAAATATAACGGCTATTTTCGAAAGGGGCAGTACGCGTTACGTATCCTTATCTACGTACGTGCGTATAACAGGAGTCAAACCATAAGCGAAGCCCACCTGCGAATACCGACCTTTCTGTTTCTATTACGATTCGCCACGTGATCGACAGGTTGTTCGATTGTGCTGTACATACATTTGTCAAAACTACGGATCAATAAATTCGTTAGGACATGCTTTTTTTCCATGGACTGAATCTGTTGCGTCAAATGAACTCTGCTAAGCACGCGAGTTGTATATTGAGTTTCATGTTTATGCGAAAGATTACGTTCGATAAGTTTTACAATAACAAACTCGTTCATCGTCTGGTTTACTAGAAACACAACGACGGAATATCGCGTTAAAGAAAATTGAGGTCTTTACTGAATCTATAGAGATATTCGACACTACTCCTTAGCTTGTGATATGAATTTATTAATCAGTCATCCATTGTGCCTCGTCAACTGCTTTTTTTAATTATAAATTCTTCCGTTTAATTCCAGCAAAGTAAATCCTATCCGCGCCAAAAGAAGCCATTGACGTTAATATTTCAAGATAAAACGTTGGGGACGTTACCATATTTGATAATTCTAGTATATTTTTGGAATACGTAAATGTAGTGCAATATGTTCAAAAATACGCGATGAACTTAATCTTCTGTAATGTGTCATAAACAGAAAGACATCTGTAACTGGCTAAGTAAGTGAGTAGCTAATGAACCATATTTTCTATAACAAGAGACACCATGAAAAGTAACAAGAGTTACAATTTACCATTTATGAGTGTCTCATCATTTTCTTAATAATATATTTTCCTTGTATCACGATAGTATTGTTTGGTGGCAGCATAGGCCGCATAATGCTACAGGTGTTTCGCTGCGTAAACATATGTGTATGAAAAAATCAACGTATCTTCAGTCAAGCATTCTTGACTAGGCAAAATAGCATGGCGCTACAGTGGAGTAAGAGGAAGACCAGACAGGAGCCACAGACTAGCGAGAGAGAAAAGGAGAGCACGGAGAAGGCATCGCGTAAACGAGCAAGTGAGAAATAGAGCGAGAGAGGGAAAAGGAGGAAGATATCCGATGGAAACGTAACTGCTGGGGAGCAATCGCGGTGCTCGTAGAAGGGATAGGTTCCGCGGAGAGAGGGAAAACATAAATGGTAGGGATAGCGGAGCGCGTGACAGGACACGTGACCGGGGCACACGGTGCTCGCGTGACCGGCCCTGTGACGTCACGCGCACGTGTCACATAGCGTGGTGAGTGGTAAAGCTTGGTTCCCACCCACCGAAGCACCGAACAGTACCGTCTCTAGTCTATGCCATGGACTTTCACCAGGAAAGCCGAGATTTTTACCACACCAGAATTTGCGTCACCATACTTGCGACGCATGCTGGTGATCGAGATGGCTATACCGATGCCAACTAACGTAGAGAAGTGAGTTTTCTAGAAAGAAGACTCGGCATGCGTATACCGCAATGATACTGAGAAATTCACCAACCTTTACGAATTCGTGGTAATGTGTCACTTGCCGGAGGTGCTTAAAGGTCATACGTGTAACTCTTTCATTTTGTAATTGGTTTCCACGGACTGCTGTACCTAAAAGCTACCTAACCATAGGATTCTAATAAATTATGAAAGCAATGCGGCATGATTAAAAATGTTCTGTCGAATGTCGAATCCTCGTCCTAATCGAACGAATCGATCGTATGACGTTTATTTTCTGAAAAACCACTTTAGGTTAGATTCGAAGGTAACTGACTGTGAGACTGTCACGTCCACCAATGGTATCTCCAAGAGACTCTTGAGCATCCGTGAGATTAACATCCAGTCCGAAACACGATGACGTAAGCGGGCCTCCTGTCGGTAGTACACATCTTTCTGTAACTCGCATGATTCTATATTGTTTGTAGAATTGAACTGCAATGACTTACATTGGAATCTCGTATATCAAGACTACCGTGCGTTCCGTTTATCGTGCGCTATGCATTTGCCTCAAACATCGAGCAGTTAAAAAGCTATTACTCGTGACGAGTTATGGCCTGCAAGAATTTGTATAAAACCTGATAACACTGATATTACCAACATGTTTATCATTGCTTTTATACACTCGCGTACCGCTCATGAATAGTTACGTCTATAAAGAAACGTTCCCTCTATAGTATTAACGGATTTTTAATAAAATTTGCTCGTTCGCAAGAGTGCGTATGGCGCCTTGATTGCTAGAGCCGTTCCTGACACGGTCTGGATCGCTCCCACCCGAGGACTGCATGCCACAGTGCGGCCCATCAGGAGAATCGAACAGGGCCGCGTATTATACACGTATTCTAACCTGCCAGCCAACGACACGCGTATTCGCGCTATCGAACCACAAGAATAAAGTTGTATTGTCTAGGATTTTAAGAAAAAAATATTTTACTCGGCAAAACTGCGATGCACTGTCGGTAACCGATTTTGAGTACGCTTTTAAGACACACCGGATTTCACAGCAGTCACGTGAGCGAGGAACAAGAAGATGAATCTAATGAACCAAATCTCTGAATATTCTGCTGCATATGCAGCATTGTGAAATTCTCGTGCGTGGGTGCAATCTTGTGGCGCTATCAGTGACGAGGAATTCTGCTTTCGAAAAGGATCAGTTTTGTTATCGGAAACCATTGAGTAAATTGAAGGAAATACATACGATACAACAGAGAGGCCAATATCATCCATTGAAAATCATCACGTGACAAGGCAGTACCCTGTTACGCGTCGGCAAGTTTTGAAAATCGAAGAAAACCACTTCTGTATATCTATACATAAACATATATCCATAGGTGTCTGAATTACATTATACATATACATATATATACGTACTTCGTCATTCCACGTTTCATGTGTTTGGTAGTGAATTGCGAAGGAGCATAACGTAGCATAGAGTAACGTAACGTAACGTACCCGCTTGGCTTGAACGGGCCAATCGATCGAGAACGTCGAGGTTAAAAGTTACCACGCGAGCGATTCTCCCTGCAGTGAATCGTCGGCTGTTTTCGCGACGTGAGCAAACGGTAGATCATTGTCGCGCCACGCATCGTCGTTATACGTAGGTGAAACGTTTGAAAACGAAACGTCGGTGATTTCGTGTTACGTGAGTTGCCGTTCTTTACGTAGTGTCCAACAATTATTTTTTTTATTCGAAAAAGAAGAGAGAGTTGCGTTGCGGAAGGCACAAGAAGTCAGTGTGTTAGGAAGTGTTCGTGCTGCAGAGCGACATTGCAGAAATTCTATGCTGCAAGATGATGGAGACACAGAACTTTTGGGAGGACAATTCTGCACATTCTATGCAAGTTAAATACGAGAGGTGAGTACGTCAGTCCTTGAATTATACAGCGTACAAAAAATCTCAGGCTTTCGTTCTGTTATCGCGAATCGTTCCGAGTAAACATTTTTCATCTGACTGTGGTATTATGGGATACGTCTAGATTAGGATTTGCGAGTCTATCTTACCTTATGCTTCGCAAAGACCGAAATTCACTATCACGTTCAGGGCAGATCTTATTGAACTAAACTTTTAACGGTGCAAAGTATGAGACGAACTAAAATTCCACATTGAATATACATTCTCTTGAACTTTAAGAATCCTCCACAGGAACCACTACTTCTTGAACTCAGTATAGTAATTTAACTGTTGCACCGTAAATCTACTTTGTGTATCGTGTAAGAGTGCTTTTATCGCTATTCGTGTTATCGGGTGAAACATGGAACTGTAGTAAATGTTATAATGTAGATTCAGGCGTTTCTTTGCTAGCTGCAAGGTCGTGGACATTCATTCCTAGCCTTGGTGAGAATGTTGGTTTATCAATGCACTGAGGTACAATAATTAAGGACGTACGAATGACGTCTTCAGGATGTTCTTTGCAATCAAGGTCGTGGTAACGAAAAGTTGCACGTTCAACATTCTTTGCAGTGCGACTGTCTATTCATGGCTTTTTGTGAATATTATTAATTGGACAAGTGATATCGTAAAATTGCGTAGAAAATATTTTCGAAGAAAAATGTTTAAGAAATTGTGCAGGAACAGGTAGAGAAGGTCGTTTTCACAAGCAGGCCGGCGCCTTCTTGGGTGCGATTAAACAATCGTATTTACTGTGACTGTTTAACATCGACTTGTGTGCTCAGGTTCATTAACAGCGTCAACAAATTGCAGCGGATTTCGCCGTCCGGGTCGTAGTCGAGCGTGCTTGCTCAGTAATAAACCTAAATGCGTTTCCATACGACGCCCCTGTGTGGGAACAATCGGACTTGTCTTCAACGAGATGTTATGGAAGGAGTTAAAATCAGATTTCGAATAATATTATTCAGAGATATTTTGTGCTTCAAAATACGGGTTGCTTCGAAATTCATATCGTGTTACACGTGGCACTAGGATTTACAAGACTTGCTGCTTGGCAGTTCGTATCAGATAACTATAGTCAACATGCTTTTGTTATAAGCTTCTATAGAAGAGGGAAGTTCCATTCGCCGATGGTTACGTTCGCGTATACGGAATAAGCTGGGAAGATATACTTGGCACTAGAACACAGGTGATTCTCCAGATAGAAGGCAAGGTAGAGAAGTCTATAAGTAAGTTAAACGATGTTATTAAAAGTCACGTCCTACATAGTACATTTCCAAGAGGGCACATATAGCTGTAGGTGATTTCACATTGAGTCTCATCGCTGGCATCGAACATTGACACCGCATCGATCGTTCAGGGATTTATTTAGAAGGAATTATTTCGAGACGTCCTCGAATAGCCTCCCGACGTGTAGAGCGCGATTATGTCCGTGTCTGTGTTAAGGAACAGAACATGAACACTGCAAATTTTTTTAAGGTTCCTTTTATAACGTTCACCGCGTTTACATTCACACTCCTTCCGTTGTCCTTCTATTGCAGTCCCTGGCACTGGCCACGTAACCAGCTCGACTGTACATACAAAGGCCTCTCCCAACTTTCAAGGCGTCTCAAGGATTTGCTCGGCTCTTCGCGCAAGCGACAATCACCGAGAGTGAAAGAGAGGGAGAGGAAGAATACAAGAAATAGATAAAAGCTGAGAGGAAGGAGAGCAAGAGAATTTTCGGATGGGAGAAATAGGGAAAATAAAATCGTTCCACTTTTACGCCGCTCGGGTTACGGAGACGTCGCGTCAGGTCCGTGTAAACAGGCCCAGCCGGCACCTTCCTTGCAGAAAGTACTGACGCCAGTTTGAAGAGCGTTTGCGTCATGGAAAGGAACGGCACGAGAGAATTAACGGCGGAATCGCTGTACGCGTATCTCTTACTAGTGTGTCGTATCTTCTTCAATATCACTGCTTTGCCCATATATCTATATACATATTCTATATATAGTACAGATATAATCATATATGATCCTAGTAAACATATATCTACGGGTCTAATGGGTGTGCCACATATTTTTCAAACCCTTTCACTTCCTCGCCCTATCCTTCTTGTGATTCACTTTCTTTTCTAGATTTTTTTTAATTGGATATTGAAAACTGCCTTGACACTAGCACGTCTATAGACTATATGAATTTCGCTCTAGCTATATGTATATAACGAAACCACACACTTACATCTTTCTGTATCTTTTAAGGCGGCTGATCCGCTAACTAACGAGCTACCCACGATATCGCATAACGTGATTCGTGAACACAAGGTATCACTTTCAGATAAAGAAGTATCAAATCCATCGACCAATCCGTCATTCCCACCTTTGATATCTCAATATTCAATGAGATATCCGTTATCGTCGGTGTACTTTTTTTTTATTTTTTTTTTGTTTTCGTCCCTCGCTAACTCCTCAAAGTCGACGTACTACTCATCAAATCTACGAAGAATGATTTTTGCGCAGAAAATCACTACACAATGGCGACTCAGGCCTGTCTAGCCAAGCGCGAATTGTTTTTCCGAATTTCATTGACTTGTCACGTCGGCACCTTTCATTCCTCCTTGGACTTTTCATACATGCGTAAACACACTATACATAGTGGAAACCAGTGGTCAATCTTCGAGAGTACCTTATACCATAGGATATCACATGCTTAGTCATTCCTGCATGGAGAAAAGTAGAGATTTTGCTGTTTCGTGGAATACCACAGTCTTTCATGACGGTTCAAAAACATATTAATTTATGCATTATGTATGGCTATTAACATTTTTCGGCATATAATTTAGTACCATACTCTTCGTGCGACTGCACACTTGACACTGACACTGACACTGACTGACGTGACACTGCGGTACACGTGGTTTTTTAATTTGTTGCTCAGATTTCGTACCGTTTGTGCTCGAAACGGAATCCTCGTGTTTCTACGTGTGCATATATTGCTACGGCGTTTCATCTTGAACGGTATATTTATATATTTGCCTCCGGGTGATTCCTCCATTGTACATAGAGACGGAGGTCGTCCGAAGGCCACGACTCCAATCTAAGAATAAAAAAAAGAAAGCTGACAAAAGAGCTCGAAGATAGAGAGGGGCGAAATTCAATCAGTAAAAGTGATCGTGATAAAATGTTATTTTTAAACGATATATTCACCGTCTGGTATAAAATCTCCGGAGGTCGCGACTTAGTACCAAAAAGAAAATATAATACGAAGAAAGAAACGAATAGGAAAAAGGAAAATAGAACGTAACTGAGAGAGCATGCAAATCGAGGACTCCTTGAAAAAACTCAACTTTTTGCGCCAATAGCAGGCGAAATTGCTTCCCACATACGCATAGGTATGTAACGAATTTTATTGGACTTAATGTATGGCAATACGTGCACGTGCCAAATTTTCCATCGCCAGTGCAAAAATGCGGCCGATAAGGCGCACGTATAGTGCTTAGCTCCTTCCTCATCCTTTTTCTTCTCTCCTTCTTTGTCCCTGCGCAATATCTTCCTCATTTCGTGGGTTCTGTTTTTCCGCTATGTCGACAAGAGGAAAAGGAAAAAGACGTAAGAAATATCACATGTGATACAAGTGACGGAAAATCCTTGTTTCATTACATTTTTTTATGTGCGCCACTGTACTCCTAACGACGAAACTCTGTCAGTTTAATTCTGTGCGATTTTTCCACTAAAGCCTAAAAAATGGAGACTCACGGTAACATGACACAGAGACACAAGTGCATGGAATAAAGGCAATGATTCAGTGTCACGGGTCGCTCTTCGTAAAGCTATATAAACACGTAAACAGATGTTCTCAGTCACGTGCACTTTAATGACAATTCAGTCACCTGATCGGATTAAATCACTTATCATCAATTTCTGTCAGTCGATTAACTGCAATCAGAATCACGATGGATTTTCATGCACTCGATAGTGAGTCGCGAGCGTCAAAGTAGAGTTTAGGCTTCAATTCTTAGGAGTTCCAGGTTGTAGGTTTAATTTAAGTTCAAGTTGATCAATATAAACGTTGAACTGTGCGAGCATTACAGTTGTTGTATGTTCTAAACACAAAGCCAAATAGATTAGCGAAACTTCACATATATTTACATCGAGCTGCCACAGTGCTTAAAATTATATCGTGCCACCGCCCCGTGGCATCATTTCTCCTGGTGATATACCATATCAGTAGCCCATCGTCTTGTTCTTTGAGTTCTCAATCCAGTAATTATTACGTTTTACCACGGCTGCTCTAGAGCTCGTACTTCTCCCTTCGTGCTTAACAGTGTTTTTTTCAACACGGACCAATTCGAACAGGAGCGATGAGAGGGACTACGAGTAATAAAGATTTGGCTGAAAAGTGACTTAAAATTTTGTAAAATATTTTTGAAAATAAGCACACGAGCAGTGATAACCTTTATGATAGTTTTAACCATTTTCAATGCACCGTTCACAGGATTTCTTCCTATTTGTCTATTAATACTCGTTAGAATTGACGATACAATAATTGTATCATAAGTAAGGATTAAATTACAGGCACGCGTTCATTTGACACTGCGAACTAAATTTTTTAAATATCAATTTGATACTTTATCATAGATGTGGTAATACGACGATAGTTAACTTTAATCACATACGTGGTAGCGATTTGCCAGAATTTAGGGATTTATGCTGATTCGTGTCAAGGCGTTATCGAAATAAAGTCAAATTAGGGTCGCGCGGTCGGTATAGCCGAAATGGGAAATACGTGTACGATTAACGGAATTAACGATTGGTTTACCTAAACCTGAGTCAATCTTATGGAGTGTCTCGATATCTGTATCTGATTCCTTTTTTTCAACTGACAGATCATTGCTATGTCAAGGAACCACGCTCAACTTTTTTCACGGCTCTCATTCTGTCAGAATTAGTGGCCCCAAAGATTGTGTGCTAAGACGCGAGGTAAAGTGTTCTTTAGAAACTACACAGGAACGATGATACGTGAGTTATACATATTATGAATCACGGTGTGACATTCATTTTGTGGGTGTGCGAGGCATTAGAGTAAGTTGACGAACCAATAAATAACTAAGGTTCTAGAAGAACACACTGGGACAGTAGTAGCGGAACAGTATCATCTTTATCCATAGCTATAATAATATAGTAATACAGTGGAAGTGTAAGAATTGAATATTACGTATACTATAGATACATATAAATAACTCCAATCTACGCAACGCTCTGATCTTTCGCAGCAAGTCCCCGCTCATTGCTACAGGCTCCTTTTCCTTCCCCGTGTATCTGGAGCGTGTACACTATATAGTACATATATATGCACGTAGGTATATGAGTTGAATACGAAGCGACGAACTTGTGTTACCCGCGAGTGGATGGAACTCATGCCTGAAGTCACGTTGCTTGCCACGCATTCGTCCGTGATGTAGGTTAGTATTTTTGCAATGGTGTTGTACACAAATACGGCATGATTATACGTAAACAATAACAGTGTGCGCGTCAGGAAGTTTGCCACCAAGTTTTTGGTATTGCCGGAAGTTTCAACTAGCGAACTAATCTCAGTATATCTTTGCGTAATTTTGATTAGAGAAACAAAATGTTGTGTATTTATCTCGAATGAGAATGGCTATAAAATAATGAAGTACAGCACGAAACTGCGATATGGTTGAATAGGATTTATCTGATGAGTTGGCCGTCATTTGCCGGAAACGGCAGCTGCCCGAACGCTAGTTGCGTTCCTGTTGCTTTCGGCAGCAGAACGAGCCGGTATAGGTTTAGTCGCGCAGCTAGACGTAGGCGACGTAGGCGACGCAGGCGACGCAGGCGACGCAGGCGACGTAGGCAAGCAACAGGAACGCAAGTGGCTTTCAGGCAGCTGTCGTTTCTGGCGAATGATGATACTGGACATTGATTTTCTGGCAAAAGACAACAACCTGTGCGTGTGGGTCTGTACTAATGACGTCAATCGTGACGCTGTTGACTCCACTTGTCTTTCTTTCTTCCCGTCTCCCTTCCACATTCCCATACCGACTCTCTCGCTCTCTCTTTGAACCACCAATATTATGTGTTCCCGATTAATAATACTAATAATCGTTTGCTACGAGGAAGACGCGTACTTCCACGACTCGTAGCATGCGGTTACGTGTCATCTTGAATCCATTTTCAGGCTCTATCCGTTGTAATAATAATATAGTATTAATTAGGTCTTTTTTCAATTCAGATGTATTTCCTAGCATGGGCGGTACGCCAATATTATTTTAACACGAAAACAAGATAACATTAGAACGAACGAATAACTTGACTCTTGTCATCCTCATCGAACGTGAACTTTAATATTGGCGATCGTTTCGGTTACAGTGATATTACCGATATTTCCGGAACTGTACTTTGATCTTAAAAGATGGCTCTCGCGAGGTGCGTGTTTTTCTTCAAGCCTAGAAAATCAGCTTGTCATCTTAACTGGGATCAATGGACTTCATTGGAATTCGGACGAATTCGTCGTACGAATCACGCGACTGTGATGCAGCTTCGATATAATTCATAATCCTCTTCTTCGTTTCATCTTAGAAAATTGTGATTAGAATTACGATAAAGCATACCAAGTGGGACTTTTGATCGTAGCACAAGCATATCCTTTTGCTTCGATCGACACCACCGACTAGCAAGTGCGCGGGCTGATTGCGAGACAGCCGACGCAGCCACGCACGCAGTGCGGCAACGTGTGCGTGCTGCACGAAAGTGAAGGTAAGCAGCAGAGAGTCGCTGCGTGCGTGCGTGCGTGCGTGCGTGCGTCGCTGGTTGCGCGTTGCGATCTGCGCGGCGCCGGCGGAGTGGGCCGTAAGGTCGACGAAGGACGTTGCCGGGTACTAGTTGCGCGCGCGCGCGCGCGCGCGCGGGGTGGAGGGGGAGGGGACTACACTCGTGATCTTTAAGGCCCAGATTCCGATCCGTTCGGATTTAAACCGACACTCCTATCTCCGACTAGGCATAGGCCCCCATTAAGCGCTGCCTATCGAGATCATGATCTGGGCGCGCGCAATCTCCGCTCACTCGACTGTGTCACTTTTGCATACTAGTCTGCCTGATTCGATTCGCAGCCTCACCGCGTGGCCACTTCGTTCGGCTACACAGCTATCCTGTATGTACCACGCGGTACCAGGCTACCAGGCCTAATTGATACGAGCCCATCGGCATTCAGTTATTTATAGTATTTTCTGTCCACTACGTGTACGTAACCAAGTATTTCTTCGAGTTTTCTGTTTCTTGCGCACTCATCAAACATACTATGTAAAATGTTGTTGTTTTTCAGAAAAGAAAAGAAACAAACGTGATTGATTAATAACTCAGTCAAATGGTTCACGTGTGGCGTTGTGGATATAGCATGCATCCGTTACGTCAGTTTGCCGGAGTTTTAAGATATTTTAAAAGCAAAGATCGTCCACGTATATAATTGTCCGGTCTATTAACGGAATACTGCGACGGTGTTACGAAAGCGTCGTATATTCAGGCTTCGTGCTGCGCCTCGCGCATCCCGCCCCTCAAATAGTACGGCTTTTGCGAAATAAACTATACGGGTTAATGTTGTGCGTAACACGTGCTCTCCACGTATAGATGGAGTATACTTACAACTAGTAGTTTAGCCGTGCAGCGGAGACGTGGAAGAAGTCAGTAAAGTTGTACAGATCCGGTCTCTAGGAATACCCACTGCGAGTGACAAACCGGAAAATGTCGACCGCGTGTCACGTGTACGTACACGAGGTACGCTGATATAGCCTATAGTCCATTCTGCGTAACTCGATCCTCAGCAGGTAAGTCAGGCGTATAGACGTCAACAGGATACGTGCTCTTATGGACGGACTAGAAGTGTATGGTTGTCACATCCTTTAACGTCATCATGGAGAATGGATTATAACCTTCATTTTAAAGACGTTTCGATTTGGGCAAATCCACGTGGGTGGCACGTCAGATCGAATTAAATTATCGTTTTTCCTTGCCTGTTGCGCTTTGCGAGAGGATACCCACTATATCGACTGAATGATTGATTCATTAATTTTCTCTGCAGGTTACTGCTACTGGTTCAATCGAGGCACAGGAAAATTTCGATAATAATAGACATTGCAAAGGCAGCTCTCGATTTATCCAGTTATTTCGATTAAATTATTCATTGATTTTGTTACGAGTGCGAACGGGCTATAGCTGGAGCACTGGAAGAACAAAGGCCTCTTCGGAAGTTTTATGCGAATACATTTTTTCCGTCTGGCCTATGTATAGATGAAAATCTATATGGAGTTAGGGCAATCGGGGTTATTGCCTGCGCCGGTATATACGAATACTTGCAGACACTCTACCGGTATAATCTAACCGCTTCTGCTATTCTTCTGATATTTTGAAATACTCGTTGGAACGAACAAGTATGCTGCGGGTATAAATGTCATTCAAAGACTTCAAATTTTCGCCTGAAAAGTGCTTCGAATGACTCCTAAAATGTCACGTGACGTCTTCCGATCTTCCGATGCTTCAGAAAAATGCGCCTATGCGCGCGTGCATGTTGGTTGACATCGTCGACACCGTCGACACTTAACACATTAAAGGCGGGAGTCGTAGTACTACGATTTATCTCGACTGTAGCGCAAAGGCGGGAGTTTAGTGTTTAGTTCTTTTTTAACATTTCTTGTAGTTTTAAGAGTTTAAATAAACTTTTTTAAGTCTAAATTTTTGTACGATTACACAAAATATAGCCCGCTCTATGACGAAAAACGAGGCGGGGCGGTCGCCGCGTTACCTAGCACACTTTCGTCAAGATCCCCCGCCTTTAATGTGTTAATCGACGCTCGATCGTTGAAACAATGCAGCTCGTTTCGTCAATTCAATTTCCATGATTTCTTTGACTCTTATTGGGATTTCTTTGGTGTTGACAATCGGCCTAACAAATTTATGATTTTTCAAATGAATATTTCTTTCTCACAGTCTGGATGGTCGATCGTGCAAGGACGAGATCTACAGAATGGGTATCGGTGCTGGATATTGCGAGGGTAACTTGAACTTTGCAACGGCTAGCGAGGACGATGAAGTTTACACCAAGAAGAAAGTCTCCAGGGTGAGTTGGCCCCAATTTCGATGGTCTTAATATAAAACGAATTTTATAAAGATATGTCGTTTCCGCTTGCGAAGCGAACACGTGTCGCCAGGAAGAAGTGTCTAAATTGATCGCGAATCGGAATTCAGGTCGTGGTAGAAAGGTTTTCCGTGTTGTCGAATCAGCAGTGATGCAACAACTGCGGGTTAATGGCAGTCACGTAGGTACGCGCGTGTTAAAAGCACCTTGGTCTTTTGTGACGAAATCAAAGTAAAAAAATTGAAGCGGAAAATAGAGAGAATCGCTGCTGCGCGGTCAAGTTTTCTCTTGTCCAGGACATTCGGCTCCTCGATGAACGTAGAAAGTATTTCGCGTGTAGGAAATACCTATATCAAATTAGTATCGGGTCACAAACTTCTTCGTTAAACATAGATGTTGAATTCATAAATTCGCATTGTTGCTATCGAAATAAAACAAAAAATAAATAAAAACACGACCTTTGTAACATTAATCTTTTTGAGAAATACATGACGAGATTCACTGATGAATTCGTATCTTCTGAGCAATAAGTGTTTCACTGATCGCGTGTTTACAGACGACTTTTCGTTTCTTTTTATAAATTGGATGCTCGATCAACGATGTTTACTCCTTCGTTGTCTTTGGCATTGTCAACCAGGCACGTCATGGCGTGACGACTCAGATTTGCCAGAGCACAGGCGCCGTCGGCAGGGCGTCGATCGGTTTTAGTTTCGGTGGGTTGCCTGGCGGAGGGGGTGGGAGGTCACACGGAAACTGTGTGAATCTGAATTAGGGCGATTACGTGCAATATACAAAGTATATGCGCAAATGAGGAATCACCATTTACGAACGAACGAGCGAAGAATGGCATGTCTGTCGAACGATTGACCAGAGGCTCGAACATGACAGATGGCGCACGGAAATACCGAGATAGCGACATCATCGGGATCGGCACTGTTAACGTTAGTTTCGGCAATCGGACTCGACAGTCCACGCTTCTGAAAGTCCAAGAGCTGTGAGTTAGAAGAAAAAAAGAAACAAAAGTAATGCCAGAAAAGATAAACGCCAGAAGTCGAAAAGCGACTTCCGCGTTCGAATGCTGATGCCTGCCGTCGTGTTCTGAGTGTCCGAAAAGCTCATCCATTTTTCATGAACGAAGAGTCCAGCAGGGTGATCACCTTCCACAAGAACGACTGTATAATGCACCGTTAAATGGCCGCTTAGCATTTAGTAGACGGGAACGTCGTAGGCTTGTGGAAGTGGACGACGTGCAACTTACGCAAACCGTCTCTGACTTTGTAAGCAAGGTTTCGCGGGTCGCTCGTCTGTGTCGGAACGTGTCGTCTTCTTTTGTACGTTCCTCGTGCTACTTTTATGTAAGGCGCCTATACCTCCCCCCGCCGCACAACTTCAAACTGGCGGACTTGTTGTTCCGTAAGCAGCCGTAATGCTTACCGATATCTAAAACCAATCAATCATCCTCAAGATGTATATTTGACATTTTTATGAAATTTCTATTGTATATACTTGTATACCAGTGCCGCAGTAATACCAAAAATTATACATATCTGTTTCTTGTTGTCAGAATGTACTTATAGTGAGAACGCGTGAGACAAATGTTTATATTGAAAAGATTTTAAAAAATCGTTATGATATCACGACTCAGATATGGAAGATTTACTTGTAATCTCGATTCAAACGCGTTATTGGTTTTACGACGTTGCTACAGGATAATCAGAAAAAAATTTGACGTGGAAGATTCAGAATATTCAGGAATATTCTGTTGTTAATTTAAACTGTTTTCTTATTTTATATAATAAGCGTCGAGTGTTGCTGACGCGTAATTTAATATATTCAACGACTTTTAGAATATCAGTTTATTATCGAACCTTCTATATTGAAGGATAAGAATCGCTGAGCACGTAATCCTGACAAATGTTTAGAAGTAACTTCAATTGATTGATTATCTAAATTGTCTCGATCAAGACTTAAGCAAATAACAGTCAAACGGAGAGACGAAATGCGCCGAAAGAAAGTGAAATATTCTATGCAGATGAAGAAACGAGGAGCCGCTCGTAGAAAGTTTTCGATTCTTATTGATCTTTCGACTTCGATCGCGCATCGCGTGATTCGACGAAACGCCCAGGTTGCACAAGTCGCAGACGCACGTTTCGGGCTGCTCGAAGAACGCAGCTACGTACGTGTCTTGGGACACGAAGAAATTTCGTCATGCCAATTCCACAGCGATATATCGCGACGGTTTCTCGGTCATGGCTGTGAGTCAGTGGCGGCTGTCGGGTCGACCGTTCAGACTCTTGAGGCCGTTCATCGAGTAAATTGTGCACGTCGCCTTTCGAGGAACTGCGTCATCGACGTGTGCATGGCTCTCGTATTGGCACCAACCAATTAACGCGTTTCTGATACACGTGAGGCGAGAAGGACAAATCCGATGGAAAATATTGGCACGTCTTTTTCTCTTTCCAATCACCTCGTCATTCGCTTGCATGGCAAGATTCTTTTAAAGTTTTGTCTATCGATCAATAATAATAATAATACGTATGCTTCGTGCAGCATGTCGCAACAAGGGGGTTTCAAAATAGAATAAAGCTTCCACGAGACTCTTGACTAATCTGGTATTTCCATAATTCCACAAAGAAGCGGCCGTCACCACATTTACATCCACGTGATCTTATGTTTATGGAAGAGCAATGAGCAAAAATAATGATTGGCACTCTGAGATCGCATATGGAGGTAGCGTATTATCCACTGTGTAGGTATGGGTTATCATTATTTTATATACGAACAAAATGATTTACAAACGCTGTTAAGAGGACGAGCGAATATTTTTAACGACCTGTACAGATTTTGACTTGGAGCCTAAATACATGAGGTTAAGTGATACTATAGGAAACATATGAGACTGATGTAGTTAATTATATTTTTGAGAATGCGTTGTTCAACGTGGAATTTTTTCTTCACGTTTCAAAAGCCACGCAATTTGCGTGCCCTCTCCGATTGAATCTTACGAAATAGCCTGCAGGTGTCCTGGTCTGGTATGCGTGTATCACGATTTCTTTGTAACGATGTCGCTTCTTCCGATACGTTTCTGCACGTGTGGCGCGTGTTTCTATTCTGAGAAAGCACTGCTGACGACAACGCCATCTGTTCGAACTACTTGGCTACTAGGTTACCATTTGAGTGGCGCTGGAACGTTCGTCGCGAAGTAACAGTGTCCTACGACTTGCGTGGTCAACCTCAGCTGTCCGAAACTGATTCAGTAAGTCGACGAAAACAGTCTTGGAGAGTGGTGCTTCTTTGACCTCGCTGAAATTCACTTTTTACTCTTATGTAGTCTAGGGTCGGCAGAAATTCATTTATTTCTACAAAAAATGCTTTTTGCGCTACTCTTGGCGAATCATACGGTAAATTTTGTATAGAAAAAACAAATCGTATCATTCCAAGATCGGGCATTCCTCTACATTCGTAATTTTTTATCGGTTACATGACTTCTATAGGCCACACCTTCGCCGGCGAACGGGTTCACAATGTTTATTCCTCGTCACGTGTTTTATCTTCGCCCCGAGGTTTGCGGTTCGATCCAGTCATCGCGAGTCACATGTTTTCGTGCTTCTTTCCCTTTATTCTCTTCTCGCTTTGATTCCTTCCTTCCTTCTCTTTTTACATCGCATCTTTGGCGATCATGTATTTCGATACAGAGTCCAGGGCGGGTAATCATAATAAAAAAGAATGAAGTTACCTGAGTCGTGTCGTTCAATTTTGAACTACGAGGTGCAGGGGAAAACGAAAGACGTGGGCAAGCAAATAATATTTGTTCAATTTAACAGAGCGAGCCACTGTCCCGCGTAGCCCATTCTCATTCTTTTCGAGACAAGCTCGAAGAACTCACGGACAAGATCCTTTCGTTTTGACACTGGTCACGAGCGGCGCTGCAGTCGCATGAATTCTATAGCCGCGACCCTATCTTCTTCCCGGAAACGTGCGTCTTGCCTCCTGCGTCACTGGACCATCTAGATACGTGACATTTTCTAGGACGTATGTTTGGATGGATGCGGGCACGACGTCACCCGCTGCGGTTGAAACGACTTGCGCAGATTCTTTTGGCCAGTCGCCAGAATGACTTGAGAGTTGGATGGGTCCGGTTCTATTAAAATAATAAGATAAAAAGGTTTTTCATTTTTTCTTTTCGTTGCGCGACAAATTGCCCACTGCTCTCTTACGGTACTATTCCATGAAAACAGAATGGAGTTACTCACGAGACGCGATATAGTATGCATGTACATATACATTGTCGAGTACGGGCACATGTGCCTCGTCGTGTGTATCGCGAGAGTCGGCTTGGATCCGGTGAGGCCCGGTTCTTACAGAATGAAAAAAATACAGGGACCACCGCGGTCAAACGTACAGATAAGTCGGGCATAATAAAAGCGCTTGTATTCGAACGATGCGATCGGCACGTTACTGGTTATATGCGGATGAGCGATAACGGGACCCCGTTAGCTGCCATTTAACTTATATGTATCTTTCTATCGTTTAGAATTTTTTTTTTACATTTCCATTCTATCAACATTATGCGCGCGACTATCGTCCGATGTTGTCTCTCAGTATCTCGGAGGAGTCAATTTCTTAAAACCTCTGCAGATTCTCGTGCACATCATATGGGGGCATGTGCAAATATTCCCGTATCGCTGTCGATATACGCTACTCCTTCATTACTTGGAGTTTTGCAAAACGCACTGGCACATGTCGGTACAGAGAGACCGGACGACTAATCACTTAGCAGAAAACAATTAGTGCCAATCGATTTGTAATGTTGAATTTACATTGAATTACCGATCTCGATAATCGGTACGGCCATCTTAGTAATTTCAAACTTTTTTAATTTCGCTTCAGAATTACGAACTTTGTCCACGTGACGTATCATTGATAATTTGTCCGACGCACAGTAAGCGTGATTTTGTGATTTCAGTCGTACGTTAATTATAGGAGGAGG